TTAAGACGTCGTAAATATGTACATATATATATACACGTAACATTTGTCAAGTATTTAAAAAAAACTGAACATGATTTTTTTATTTCTTTTATACAATATGCTCCTTTAAAATGGTTAGTGATTTTTTATCACCTGTATAAAATTGTACAGCTAAAAACAAGTTACAGCAAAAACGAAATTTAAAATGATTGGACAACAGCGAAAGAAACCATGAAAACGGTTCTATCGTTTTCGTTCAGTAACTTCGACTTTTGACAGGCGTCAACGTCAAATGTGGAAAAATATAATTAAAAAAAATTGGCAAAATCATCAGTTCTCATATTGATGGAGCCATAAAAATAAAAAGTGAAGTGAAGTGGAAAATTTCCATTAAAAAAAAATATATTACACATTTCAAGATATCCATTTTCAAATCCACATGTTGCCTATAATATATTCAATGTGACATTTTGTTTTCAAGAAACTGTACTGCACATTATAAAAGACCGTATTTGCATTGTCATTGGCGGCACTGCGGCACTTCTTATGGGTTTTTCACTTCACAGTTTTTCATTAAATTTCTGGAATACAGTTGGTCTGGAAAATTGTTATTGCTGTACTGATACTCCAAAATACATTCAGAATGCCTGTACCTTGCAGGACGGGTTGTGGCAAAAATGCAGTTTTAAAGGTTAGTTTCATCATAATAATAAAGATCTCCCACTTAAAATCCGGGACGGGTCCCGTTAATATTAACTTCCTCCTAACGTTAGTCCACTCTCCCTTTGTGCATGTAGATTCTCCTCTCATAATTCTGTCTAAATTCACCGGTCAGTTTTTGAGTAAAAACGCGTGTGTTCCTCAAATTGACATTGGCGAAATAATCATTTATTTAGATGGGGCCATTTGGCAAAATCATCATTTCTCATAATGATGGAGCCATAAAAATAAAAAAAAAGTGAAAAAAAGATGGGGCCATAACATTTAAAAGAAGAACAAGGACCATTTTTTTTATAAATAAAAATATTGTGCCAGACACCCACACCAATTATTTGGCTCAAATTAGGGACGCCTGTTGAGTCACTGAAGTCGTAAAATTGTTCCTTCACCTAATTTACTTTAATTATTTCAGCGACCAAAAACTGGGGACGCTCTGTGTAAAGAATGTTTTTTCACTGCGTTTGAGACAGAAATTCACTACACTATTACAAAAGGGAAATTATTCAACAGAGGTGATTCTGTAGCTATAGGAGCCTCTGGTGGGAAGGATTCAACAGTACTTGCATATGTCTTGAAGATGTTAAACCAGAGATATCACTATGGCTTGAACCTTATGCTGCTATCCATTGATGAAGGCATCACTGGTTACCGAGATGACAGTTTAGAGACAGTAAAGCAGAATAGAGATGACTATGAAATGCCATTGAAAATATTATCATATAAAGACTTATACGGTTGGACAATGGATGAGATTGTAGCTGAAATTGGTCGAAAGAACAACTGTACTTTCTGCGGAGTATTCAGACGTCAGGCATTAGATCGTGGCGCTGCAATGCTTGACGTACGTTGTATAGCAACTGGGCATAATGCAGATGACATTGCTGAGACCGTTTTGATGAATGTATTAAGAGGGGACATTGCGAGGTTGAAGAGGTGTACAGCTATATCTACTGTAAGTGAGAAATGGTAATGATGCAATAATATACCTGTAGCACATAACTTTGTCAGTAACAGAGTAGTCCATGCCTAAAATACTACTGGATGCTATTTCTGCTATCTCAGTTAATCCATTAAAAAACAATTTTTGGTAAAAAAAAATAAAAAAATTAGTCTCAAAAGAACTTTTTCATAAAAAAAAAACCTACATCAAAAATTTGTGGAATTACATCTGTTTGCCAGGTTTTATTGAAATTGGTTACCGGAAAGTGCGCAAAATCCCCTAGCTTGCCACCCTATCACGTGGAATATTTAAATGAGACCAATACTGAGGTGCCCTCTTTTACAACCAAAAAGAATCATCAAAATCGGTTCATAAATTGAACGAGTAATTGTGTAACATACACACAAAACAAATACAATCAAATTGAGAACCTCCTCCTTTTTAAAGTCGGTTAAAATGCAATCAAATGAAACACTGTGTTACATCACACAAACCGAGCAGCTCTCACTGGCATTTTTGTAGACAGCTGCCTGTTGTAACCAACATTTTTAGCGAAATTGTGTTAACATATTGCACCCCTCATGGAAGAATGGGTTAAGTGAAGTTACGTCAAAAATGTTTATTGCTCCATTAGATACAGAAAAATATATCCCACATCCTCTCCAATGCTTGTAACTCTATCTACAATATTATTCGGTAGAGTTACAAGTGTTGGAGACAATGTGGATTATGCCGTTTTTCCATGAGGGATGCGAATCTGGAATCAGTTAAAAGAGAACTGCAACCCACTATAATCAGTTTTTTAATATCTATCTTGTACAGTTTTATTGTAGCATATTCAGAGTAATGGAAATTTTTTAGGTGACATTAAAAGTTTTGGATGCCAAAATGTCTCGAAAGTTATTTACTATTATAGCCTTTATTGCTGATCGACAAGAATAATAACATAACTGATAAATAAGATAACTTACACACAACTTATCTAACTCAGTGACATTGTGTGACATGCTTATTACTTTTTTTTATTCCATTTTTAATATTCACTCAAATTTCTGTATTTTTGTTGACTCTGGCACCTTCAGCTTAACATAAAGACATTGGTCTCTTCTATTTATTTCAATTTCTCCCTATATTTTGCTATTTGACTTCACGCTCATCCAGCAACATATTTAAAATCGCCTTCCCATCTAAAGTATGGTCTCCCTTTCTTCCTTTCACTCTTTTGGATTCCATTCCACAATGTCTTTTATAAATTTTTTCTCTCATCATGTGTTCTGTCCAATGCCATTTTTGTTGTTTTAAAATGCGACTTTATACTTGATCGATAATACTTGATCTTTCAATTTTATGTTGAGCACACTTCCCTCCATACTATTCTGATAAATATCACTTTTTAGTAAGTGACCATGACTGGCATCTATTTATGGTCATCTCGAATATTACAGAAATGGAAACATATTAGCTACGACAAGGAGGGCAGTATATAGACAGACCAATGACCTGTAAAAAATAATGTATGCCTTGTTGGCAGTTGTGTATTTATGAAAATTTTTCAATTGAAACTTTAAAATTCACTGTTCAAGTTTCAATAATTAACGCAAAGTCCGTTTACAACCATATGTACAACTTAGTCAGGTAGTAACAAATTACTTAATACAATATTACCATTTTCAGGGCAGTGAAGGCTCAATACCACGAGTGAAACCATTAAAGTACACTTACGAGAAAGAAATAGTAATGTACGCTCATTATAAGAAGTTGGTATACTTCTCAACAGAGTGCGTGTTTGCTCCCAATGCTTACAGAGGTCATGCGAGGGCGTTGTTGAAGGATATGGAGAAGATTAGGCCATCTTGTATTATGGATATTATTTATTCAGGTATGCTGTGTTTGTAGTATTGTCAAGAATATGCAACATGGTTAGGTTCGGTGCCCACTGACAGCATGACTCAGCAGAGGATATTTAAGTGACGAAAGTTACGGCATTATAGTTGAAATTTCAATGACAATGGTCGTAGCTATAAAACAAAGCTGTGGCATGCTTGGAGATACCGAGCCAGCCGCAGCCTTGGGAGATGCCTAGGCAGCCTTCCGGACGCCTTGGCAGGCTTCGGGACGCCGAGTGTGACCATGCGGGTATGCGGCACTCACTGCAGGACTGAATTAAAGAGAGACCAGAGGGTCGATTCAGAACCTTACGATAACTCAGTTGTCGACCGATTCGATTTCGTATGATTTATTTCCATTTTTATTCACAATAACCGAATCGAACGTCAAACTGTCGTATTCGAAACCGAACCGAAATGACGGCATACTCGTGCGATTACTCGAACTTCTCGACCGGCAAAGCTTACAAACTTATTCAGAACACTGTTATGGAATAAAAGTAACCGAACGTCCTATTGTTTATACAAAAATTGATATGTAAATCTATTATTTTAAATAAAGTCTGGATTTCATATTTTGCCTTTAAAGTCTTAAAAATGTATATAAAAGGATTTTAATTTTTCTTATAATCTATTTCGCCTAGTAACTCCGTAAACGCTGTTGGATAACGACATCGTATCCGAATCCGAATTGAACCTTTAACTCAAATGTTCTGAAATATAATAATAAAATAAATAAATAAATAATAGCTCGGAAAGCGCCCTTCCATTCGAGAACGATATCCAAACGAACGATTCAGTTAAAACATCGAAGAGTTCTGAATCGGGGTCCAGGTGCGAGCACGGTATCGCGATGTAGTGCTTCGGCGTGCCTAAGGATGGTTCGGCATGCTTAAAACTTTGTCAAGGGATACCGCGCTATGTTTAAGGACACCGCGTCATGATTGCTGTCAGTGTGCGCTTGCATGTAGGGATGCCGAAGGAACCCCTGCCGAACCGTAACGTCAGTCGCCTTAGAGGTAAAATACTTGCGAAGTTAAGGGCATGTCAAGTATGACATATTAAATAAATTAACAAGAAATTTGTTCTAACATATGACAACATAATGAGGGTGCCAGCAAGCACTTCTATCGTGAGTTTACACTGACTTTCGCTAGCGGGCGTCATTATTGTTCATTTATTTATCTACATTTCTATCCCCCTTTCTACCGTTAACACAGAAAATAGGCAATTATTTGTCATAATTGCCAAGTAGATAATTTCATAGATATTACTGTTAAATCGTAGAAAAGAAATTTGAATAAAACTTCTCCTTATAAGAAACAACTACAAACTTTTTTTTTATCTTGTCATAATGAAACTATAATATGTGCCAGACAACCACACCTAATAAATAACCTGGTTTCAAACTAGGGAATTCCCTGTACTATGACTACCAGTAACGGATTTCTGGGTATTTCCCAGAACACCCAGATCAGAACCAAGTTAGACAAGTTCATATCCCAAATTTATTTAACTAGTTAAATATATCACTTAAAAAAATTTGAATGATCTTGGGTTACTCTTTTGTTACAATATTAGAAATAATAAACATAGAAAGTAATATAAAACATATCACACAACTCATGGAAGAATGGCATAAGTGGAATTACATCAAAAATATTTATTGCTCGACAAGATATGGAATAACTACATCCTCCCCAATTCCTGTAACTCTATGCACGATTAGTCGATACAGTTATAAGAATTGAAGTGAATATGCATTGACTTACAAATAAATGGACGACGGGTCTAATACAAAAACCACGAAAAAAATGTCCCAAGTCAACCTATTCGAAATTTAAATTGTTATGTCATCGCAGTATCGCGCTGTCCGTAGAACAAATGAAGACTAAAGCGGAGTGTCGCGCTCTGTATACGATTTTAGCGCCTTACAAGTGCGGACACTTTTTAGCGCGGACCCGACGTCCATATAATTGTAAGTCAATGTGAATATGGGTTATATTTTTCTGTATCTAATGGAGCAATAAACGTTTTTGACGTAACTCAGCTTATGCCATTCTTCCATGAGGGGTGCGATATTTTTATTCTTAAAAAAAACTACTTTAAATGGGGTATGAAGATGGTAGGTTTTATGCATTAACATTTTTAATTTGTCAACAGGAGAAACAATGGCAGTCAAAGAAGAAGTATCACTACCAGTTCAAGGTATATGCACTAGATGCAACTTCGTATCATCACAAGCAATTTGCAAAGCATGTGTTTTATTAGAAGGCCTTAATAAAGGATTACCCAGACTGGGCGTGGGCAAAAGTTCAAAAGCTAAGAAGATGTTAGATGAATATAACGCAAAGAAGGACAAAGAATGTTTAGATAAAGCTATTAATGATTTCGCAGACAACAGTTGTAAATCTAAAGGAAAACCTTGTAGAACAGGTCTTTGTAAAACGAAAAGTGAAGGAGGAACTGAAAAACGTGACACAAACTGTTGTAAAGAGAACAGCGATACCAATGTAGTTCTCGAAGGTAACTCGAAAATAAATAAACTACTCCAGGAATATGGAATAGAACACTCAGATCGTGAAAAAGTAAGAGTGACCAGAGACACTGATCAGGAAAACCAAAAACATAGAGCTACAGACTCGAATAGTGATTCAGACAATGAAGATTCTCTCTTAACTGGCCAGGACGAAAATAACACTTGTGCTGGAACATGTGGCACAATGGGCTCTTTAAATACAGGATTTTGACAACAGATTATTATTTATCCAATATTTGTAAATAGTAAATAAAATATAATAATTTAGTTAAAATCACTTTTATTTCTTTAATATCTATCACACAACTGCACCTACGTAAGTAATTACGTAATAATGCTCCAGGTCTACCGCTTAACTGAGTCGGTTCCTGAGGTACCTGCGCGGTGCGGGAGGAGTGACAGTTTACGTAACAGTCATGTCACGCTGCACACGGGATAATTTCAACAAAATTAGATTCCCGCAAATCAAATTATTTTGGTTGCAATGACATTTACGCGGGTTTGATTTGGCCACAAATTACCGAAATGGAGACTCTTAATCAAATGCTAGTTACGCGTTGCACTATCCCCGATGAATGGTTATGTGAAACTATAATAAAAAAAAAATCATTGATAATTGAAATGAATAGATAACATTTAGCACGTTAACTTGTTATTAAATATCGTCAGAAAAATCTTATTGAAATTATCCCGTGTCCCTCGCGACATGTGTTACGTAAACTTGTCACTCCTCCCGCACCGCGCAGCTTTAGAAGCTGACATTGGCCCAAGCCTATTGGCCGCCATTAAGGAAGTAATAAATAATACCTCGAAAATCGACTCGGTTAAGCCGTCGGCCTGCAATTGATTATTTATTTTGTACAACTAAAAAAATACACACTCTGTCACGAAACAAAAATAATTTTTGATTACTTTCAATTGGTGCTTTACGTGTTCGACCAATATATAATCTAAAATATCGAATCTTTTAATATTGTACAAGGTCAAGAGCACGTCAAGCTTGACACTTAAGATTTAAATCCAACTCTATGCCGCTTACGATAACAACGGTCCAAAGTACAAAGTGTCAAGCTTGACGTGCTCTTGACTGTACAAAATGCATATAACAATATATTGAGTTGACAATAGGCACCTAACAATGTATAAAAAAGAACAATTTCAAATTCATATTTACAAAAGATTATATCAGAATAAGGTCAATTTACATTGCTGCGGAAGATGAACAAAATTTTTATTTAGCAACCGCTAAATAATGTGTAATTTGCTTACCTATGAAATAAAGATGATTTCGAATTTTATGGCCTAAAACCCTCGCTTGAGAGGAGACGCGTGCATAGCAATGGGTCGTATAAATGTGTGTTTTTAAACATATGTCATTTGTGATTAGTTTACTAGACAGATATAATCCTCGAAAAAGAGTATACTATAGTATGTTTCATAAAAAAACTATTATAATTATTACTAAAAAAAGCTTAACTAGAACCTAGAACTGGCTCTGAAGGAAGACCATTTTTATAATTATTTGCAAGATTTATCTTTGACATAAGTCATAAGACTGAATTTTATTATATTATTGGTATGTTAATGCATTTTCTTTTATATTATTTTAGCGTTTTAAATTATAATTATTAGGTTCTTTTAATAATTTACTTTAAGTAATTTTATTAATGAAATTGTAGTAATAAGGTAATTTAGTTATTGTTATAGTATTTTGACTTGCCAAATGTGACGTTTTTTGTAATAAGGTCAATAAATAAATTGAAATTAAAACATGTTACTAGTTTCGCGCATGAACTCAAAAAGTGTATTTTTATTTATGAAAAACCGCGATGTCGTTAAAATTTATGTATAGATTAAGTTTCCTAATTTCCAAATATCTACTTAAAAATTACTAAAAAAAACGATCTGAAAAGTTCGTGGAATTGCATCTTTTTGCCAAGTGTTATTGAAATCGGTTACCGGAAAGTGCGCGAAACTGGATTCATCCCCTAGTTTGCCACTCTGAAAGGTGGAATATTTTCTTCAAATTTAAATGGGACCACTCTACTGAGTTACCTACCCTCTATCCAACAAAAATCATCAGAATCGGTTCACAAAGATATCACGTAACATACACACTAAAAAGTCAGAAATACACACAGAAATAGAAAAGAAATAAGGGCCACCCATCCCTGGCAACTCATCAGGCAAATGGGCCTTATATCACTTTTAAATATCAACTCTCGTTTGCGCGGATATCACAAATTAGAAAACTGAAATAGCATAGCGCCAACAACTGACCTGTGTGTACGTCTCCGTATATTCCAAAAATATTCTGTATTTATTGTTATAAAGATAATATCTCCAACTATGGGGGGCTGTTCCATTCGGTGGTGTGCAAAACAGCAAAACATCTAATTAGAAAACAAACGGAATCCCATCTCATCGATAATATGTAATTTTTAAATTTTCGTTCATTATAGCAAAGCTCAAATTCAAGTGATCGGTTTGAATTGAAACAATTGACGATACCCGTCAATTGTTTCGAATTCGGGCTGGCCAATCGGAGCGTAGTTGTCACCGTAATGATATGGCAGAATAGTTTTCAAACAAATGACATTTCGTCTCATTTCTGTTTATATACTCGATGGTTAAAAAAAAGGAAAAAATAATTTCATAATTTTGTATAAGGGCTGTTTTGGCCAGAACTAGCTCACATAAAGTTTGGCTCATTTAGAGTTAAGTAGATATCTTTTAATGGTTTCTTACAATAATAAACGTCAGTTCTATATATCTCTATATTGACATGTATGGAATCAAATTTTACGTTCAGCAATGGTATAATTTTGAATTCCACATATGTATTTTGAGTTACAACACTATTACAATAGCAGTGCGATATGTAAAACTTCGTTACAAATATGCGCCGTCATTCCCTTCCGCAGTAATGTAAATTGCGTCTAAAGCCTCTACATTGATCTTCATCTTCATTCAGTGCTTCTGATGCCGACGTACAGGTCTCAACAATTCAACACGGCTTCCCCGGTCTTTAAAAGAAGCTCTTGCAACTATAATACAAATTTAAAAACTATTCATATAATAATAGTTTATGTGACTGAAACATAATGGAAGGCATTAAAATACGAGTGTGAGTTAAAGCCTAATTATGTACAGTTACATACACTGCTTCATCTATACATACACATATTATAAGCTCTCTGTATTCAGGAACCGCATCTTACGACTGGCGAAATGGCGGTAAATAAAAACTTTTCTCACGCATGTCACACAACCGTAGTTTTTATTTTTAATTCATAGACAAACTAGAATCGGCCCCGACTATCATATCGTTCGATATCAAGTAACGTGTAAGATTTCACAAACATTTCATTTCGAATAAATCTTCAACTCGACTGATATTAGAATTGAGGTCGAATTAAATTGTTTTTGAAAGATGTTCGAAATTTGAATATGAAGCAATAACAACATTTTCATAGATAAGAAATTTGTTCTTACAAAACAGTTCGTTTTTATGCTGGTCGTAATTTGCGGATTTATGATATGTGTGTAGATAAAGTTTATTATATACACTCGGACACATAATTCGAGCCACCTCGCATTTTTTTCGTAAAGGGCTAGAATACAAAAACAGTGTTATCATTGAAGAAACAGTTTTCCCTCGGTTTTGCACATCCGAATTCCCACCAACAAGGACTTATGGAAAAAACGTTTAGTATACTAGTTTCAAAATTGCATAATAGTTTTTGATCAATCAAACATTGTTTAAGCTTAGGGCACTTAACACTGAAAATGCTTGGTAGCTCGAAATGTGTGTCCGCAAGTTTTACCACCACGGTGTTCAATATTTTTTTTGTGAAATTACTGCACTATTATAGTTTGTTATAATATTAATACAAAGATTTACACTTAGAAAAATTCCTTCGATCCGGCTGGGTTTGAACCGGAGTCTCCAGCATAGCAGGCCGCCGCTCTTCCAACTGAGCTACGGAACGAACGCTTTCTATCGCCATCTTTTAGAAAACTATGAAAGTTTTCCTTCAACAACTTAAAAACTATTATTTCTTGCAATAATAGCTTCCACATCCCATTTCGGTAAAACAAGAATCCACCAAACCTTTTGTTATTTTTGTTGAAAACTAAAAATATGTTAATTTTTATTGAATGTCAGTATGTTTCACCACTAGTTTGTTATAATCATTAAACAAAGGCAAAAAACCAAAAAGTAAAGATCTGCAACAAGCACATGGAAAGATTCGTGAGGTCTGTTGGTCCGCTCCGTGGCTTAGTTGACATAGCGTTTTGCACAGTTTGCAGGAAGACGTTGGTTCGAATACAGCCGAATCGAAGTGAGTTTTTTCTAAGTGTTCTTCTTTCTTCAGTTTTCTCTCTTTCAATCTTTGATTAAATAAAATTAAAAACATGTTTTTCTCGAATGAATAAAACTTGACAATTTTGTCAAAGGGTGCCGATTCTCAAACCTATAGTGATTTATAAATGATTTCTACGTATGTACAATGCGACGTTTATGTAATGAAGGCTGGTGCTCTATTTTCTATCCGCTCTCTACATATCGGGCACTGGTCTTTGATGTTGTCGGAGCAGTCCTCGCAGAGGCACACATGCCCGCACGGAAGGAGGATAATCTAGAAGCAACAGAAAGAACCGTATTCGCAGGTACAGTGTCTAATTAATAATAGTTATTTGTTTGGCAAGGCTGCAAAGTTGTTGTTTGACGAGAGTGATTGTATTGAAACCTGAGCAAGCGAAAGAAGCCAAGATTGAATCACGAGAGAAGCGAGTGGTTCAAAAATAAGATTCCTGAGCGTAGCGAGGTTATCAAGCCACGAAACGCAAAACAACTTTGCTACCGAGCGGAACACACAACTTTTCACCTTATTAAAGCGAGGAAAATGGTAGATGAAAGTAAAACAATTGAAGTTTATAACATCAATAAAAAGTTTATCTTCGGATGCGTTTTGAATTTACACCTCATCAATTTTTATTCTTGCTTGTACTTTTATTTTGTGTGATTATTTGAAAAAAAAAATAATTTTATAAACACAATTAGTTATCATTGTCAACAATAAAATATAATAATAACGTACGAAACGTAATAAATAAGAATAAAATAACGAATAACGGATTTGTAATACTTAAATGAGTACTTTACGACAAATCGCGTAGTTGAACGTGTCATTATCTTTTTTTTTTATCGAAAGAAAAAGTCAGGTGCACCACAAAAGTCCATCGTCAAGTTCGAATTTCAAAAACCTTTTCCACGCTAGCATGCAAAAAACGCTTTTGCGCGCAGATTTTTAATGAGAAAGAAAGCCTTTCCGAGCGAGTGAGGTGAAAACAATATTGTGAAGTAGCAGAGAACATGATAATCTCAGTACAAAGTACTAAAAAAACCGACCTCAAAAGTTCGTAGAATTACATCTATTTGCCAAGTTTTATTGAAATCGCTTACTTGAAAGAGCGCGAAACCGGATTAGAGGTGGAATATTGTCTTCAAATTTAAATGTCACCACAACTGAGGTACTCTTTCCAACAAAAAAAAAAACATCAAAATAGGTTCACAAATGCCGTGGAGTTAACGCGTAACGTACATACAAAACAGACGAATTGAGAAACTTCTTTTTTTGAAGTCGGTTAAAAATAACAATGTCTATGTTGTTTCTCGACTATTTTATGCTTTTCAAACATCATCATTGTGTAACTATTATTTACAAGCTATACATTTACGTGACTATTACAAAACAACGAAAATACTTAAACAAAAAGCAAAAGAAATATGAAAATATAGGGGGAAAACATCACATGTCTTGTAATTTACAATCCTTAGAATAACAACGCATAGAATGATAGTTTCATATCAAACAAACTATCACAAGTGAGGCAAAAATCAAATTCATGAATAATAGGCTAGATTTAGTAGTAGGTTAATTTTCGGTTTTAGTGAATATTTATATAAAAATACAAGTTGAAACGCGTTACTTCCTTGTGGAATGTGATGTTAGTATCTATTTTATGTTTGTCTGACGTATTTTTACACTCATTTACCGCACATTTCGTCATTTTTAGCTAAAATTCTGGAGCTGTTCGCGGTGCAAGTTGACCTTGAGCACTGAAGGCCCGCCCGCTCGTGTAGGCCCTTTGGGCGCGCTTCAATTAGCCTCACTTAGTGTGTGCGGACTAGGTTTCTATGCGTTATTATTCTAAGTTACAATCCACAATAACCAAAAAAAATAAAAGTATCAAAACCGAGTCTTCTACTCCGCTGACTGAATAGAAGATTGAGTAAGAAACGAAATTAAATGGCTATACTGCATATAATAACAATTAAGCTAGAGATTGTCAAAGGTCATCATTAACCCATATGTACAACTGTTGGGCACGGGTCTTCTCTACATACGTCTGATTATACATTTTTTTTTGTATGGGGAAATACGAAACCATAGAAGATACAAGAAAACTCCTTAGATAGTTTTCTATTAAGTCTTTTTAAAAGAAAAGAATTTTGGCATAGTCAATTTTTTGGTCAAGCGTGAGTTGTCCATAAAAATGAATAAAACTGATCAAAAATTTTTATGGTCCTAATCGACTCATTTTCATGAAGGGCTCATTTCGTTGTATGGAACGATAAAAATAGGGACAGCCGAAGTTGGTCAAATTTCATAAAATATTTTTCATTCAAAATTACATTTTACATTGACTAATTTTTTTAGTGCTGAAATGAAATCATGCTTATAAGAAACTGAGTCTATTAGCATTAAAAAAAAATAGTCAATTTTATTAATTTTGTATAAAAAATATTTTATTAAATTTCACCAACCTCGGCTACTCCGATTTTTTTCGTACCACACAATGAAATGGTCCCTTCATGAAATTGAGTCGATTAGCATTAAAAATGTTTTTTATCAATTATTATAAAATTTTATTAATTTTTATGGACAACTCAGACTCGACCAAAAAATTTAATATGCCAAAACAGTTTTCACAAAAAAAACTTGATGAATCCTAGACAGTTTCCTTGTATCTTCTATGATTTTAGTTTTCCCCATACTGACCCATTAAAAAAACTGTATATTATTTTTAATTGTTTGTTATTATTTTTAACTTACTTCTTTAGGATTTTCAGTGCAAACGACACACAACTGCACCTCAGATAGGTTCTTCTCCCTGGCGTGCGCACGGCGCTCTTTGCGACCGGCGGCCAGCTGCTTCTTCATGCATTCTTCCACCACCTTACGCCGTCTTCTTTTCAGGTATTTGTAAGCTATACGTCCGGAAGCCGCTAGTGCTACTGTGCCAAACACTACAAGGAGAATTCTGAAAAGAAAATTTTTATATTCATCAATAGCTTACAACGCGCGATTAATTGATGTTGTATCACTAGTAATTTGCTTGAGTCGAATTTACATTTGTCTGAAGTATCGTGTCGTGACGCGTATCTTCAAGATGACCTGATCAGCATAAGGATTAGATCGCCAAACGACCATTTCTGCAGAAAGACTATAACTTACAATGACTTGGTAGTAAAACGACTAGATATCGACACATGGTAAAACGACTAGGTAGCAAAATAACTACATTTTGTTTTTGTTTTCTCAAAGTACAGTTTGGTTAAACAATTAATGTCATCATAAAAATGAATATTTTTGTTTGTTTTTTTTATGGGGAAATACGAAACCATAGAAGATACAAGAAAACTCCTTAGACAGTTTTCTATTAAGTCTTTTTAAAAGAAAAGAATTTTGGCATAGTACATTTTTTGGTTAAGCGTGAGTTGTCCATAAAAATGAATAAAACTGATCAAAAATTTTTATGCTCCTAATCGACTCAGTTTCATGAAGGGTTCATTTCGTTGTATGGAACGATAAAAATCGGGACAGCCGAAGTTGGTCAAATTTCATAAAATATTTTTCATTCAAAATTAATAACACTGACAAATTTTTTTAGTGCTGAAATCAAATCATTCTTATAAAACTGAGTCTATTAGCATTAAAAAATATTTGTCACGGCCGACATTGCCAAATAAAAATTATAGTAAAATAAAATTATAATCCTCTTATTCATAATATCTACAGCGTGTTTTTTAACTGAAATCGCAAGTGGAATATTCGAATGCAGCAAAAGCGTACAATAATCTACATTCACTAAAAAAAGAAGCAGAGTTCCAGCGATTGAAAATAAATAGAAGCTTTCATTTCTCAAAAATATATCTACTATTAAGTACAATTTAAAGTATAAAATGAAGCCAATTTTATAACTTTATTTTCATTCGTATTTTTCGAACAATTTTTTGAGTAAACTGTACCTTGTCGTTTTACCAATGTAGTCATTTCGATGTCTAGTCGTTTCGCTACCAAGTCATTGTAATTTATAGTCTTTCTGCAGAAATGGTCGTTTTGGGATCTAGTCCTTATGCTGATCAGGTCATTTTGAAGATATAGTCATTATGAGACCGACCCGACGTGACGCCTTGTGGTGTGTGTATAAAGCCGATACCGTTCTGACATGTTACGATTCGACAAGTCAACAAATGTAAACCCGGCTTTAGTCGACCTTCTGTAGGGCTAGCACGATAGAGCGCGACTTGCGCGACATAGAAGCGCGAGATATTGCTATTATCTGTGGGAGTATACCAGTATCTCGGGCTTTATATCACGTATTGCCTTTATTGTGCTAGCCCCAGTGGCGTAGCGTGGAGGTGCAGAGGAGCCATGGTCCTAGGGCGGCACAGCTATGGGGGCGATGGCGAGCGCTGCCGAACCCTAACTAGTAAATTTTTTTTAGTTTAAATTACTTACAAAATGAATTTCACTATTTGAGAATACGATATCGACTGTGAACTGGCAATCGGTACTATCACAATTTCGACAAATTAAATAAAACAAAAAAAAAATTGTTTGCGTTATTTATATAGCATCTGGTTTATTAAATAAAAATACGTAGATTTAAATATTTTTATTACACATGTATGTATGTACACTATTTTTTCTTCACCTGTAAAGTTGTCAAAATTGAGATAGTACCGGTTGCCAGTTCACAGTCGATATCCCGAACAACACAAAGATGGCGAAGACAGACGAATATACAAACACAATGAACGAGTCTGCTCAAATAAACTACTTTTGTAATCGTGAAAATAGAGGGGCACCAACATTGACTTACAATTATATGGACGTCGGGTCCGTGCTAAAAAGTGTCCGATCTTATAGGGCGTTAAAATCGTATACAGAGCGTCATTCACGCTTTAGTCTTCGTTTGTTCGACTGACAGCGAAGCAAGCAAAATTAGAGAGTAGAGATGACATTACAATTTAAATTAAACGTTTTAGCTTTTTCATATTCCTTTACATGTCACTACGTTTAAATAGGTTGACTTGGGACATTTTTTTCGTGGTTTTTGTATTAGACCCGTCGTCCATTTATTTGTAAGTCAATGGGCATCAATCCTTTACCACAGTATAATATTATTATTTTTTATTATTTGGCGCACACTCATAGCTCCACAATAAGGAAACCCTGTATATCTGTTCTACAACAACAAATTTGTGTGACAAACAAATTAGACCCAAAATCACGAGAGAAATACATTCAAGTAACAGTTAAGCTCCTTGTGAAAGAATTCGTCCAGGGAAGTACAGCCACCTTACCCATTTCTGCCGCCAAGCAGTAATATGAGCATTACTGCGTTTCGGTTTTGAAGGGTGGTGGTGAAATTACAGTCACATGAGACTTGTCAAGTTATGTCTCTGGGTGACGGGCGCAGTGGCCCACAGAACTTTGTGATTTAAAGCTCAGAGCTGGCAATGCAATTGTTGTTGACAGGCGTGTCGCTTAACACAGTCTTCAAGAGTAACACCGCACATACTGCGCAAAGCTTTCATATCTACACCATTCAGCCTACATTCATGCACTTTCTGCCATGTAAATATGAATATAAATGCTTACTAACGGAGACAAAGTATAAAAATAAACACATCATTAAAGAGCTCTTGAAATCAAATATGAAAAACATAATAATAAAATAATGAAAAATACTAGCTCGAAAAACAAAACAAAAACTTTGAACTTGTTTTTTTTTTGGAAAATTTTTGCACTGCCGTCAATAATTTCTGATGGACGAAAAATCTACTTAATTTGCTAACAAACACGGTATAAACACACTAAATGTGGCATACAAGGCAGAACACTCAAGGTCTTACTTTAAAAAAAAGTACAACAAACCTTGAAGCTCTTCCAAGCCCTTCTATAAGGTCAGCTAGTATTTCGAAACAAAAGACTAATTCGAATTTAAATTGAAATCAATATTAGAAATTAAAACAATAAACTCACATAGTTGTCGTGAACATTACGAAACATGATGTAACGCCACGGACAATTAAACGGAACCAATAACGTCTCAAAGTCGATTGCACTCCCAATTGGTACACCAATTCCTTGTTTGTTATTGCTAAATTACACACAATCTCAAATAAATTTTAATTTCAATAATAACATTTTATTTATTTTCTCGCAGCTTTTTGCTATCTTTGAATTCCTTTGTATAACTTTAGGAATCAGTTTGTTCAATTTTTCAAATATAAAAAACACGAGAATAAATATAGGTTTATTTCCATCTAAGGCAGTACATTTCCGCACAAAGACTGAACGAACAAAATGTTTTATACGGCACCATATTATTACAGCTATTCAAAATGTTAAAAAACCTTGGCATGATCTAATTGAAGCACAGTATAAAATGTAAATTCCATGCCGAATCGCGCAACCTTCAAATAAAAAAAAAAAACACAAGGCTCGTGCGCGTTTCTGAATCACGACTGACGAATTAATTTTTTGGCGCGCGAATACGGATACAATCGACTAGGGAGGGGCACTTTTTGACCTAATAAAAGAATGCACAATATTCTTAAGTACGACAGGAGGTAATATTCAAAAATGTTTGGAAAACTGATGAAAATATATTTAACAAATAACAAAGTAAATGGGTGTAGGGTTCGTTGAAACCCAGCGTCACAGCTCATTCTCGGCTGTGGCTTTAGTGGAATGAGATCCTTTTGCAGACGCCACAGCCGCACACATGTCAGTATAGTATTAAGTTGTGTAGTATAATTTGTTGTTTAGGTTAAATGTTAGCTATGCTGTTTTTGTGTTATTTATTTTATTATTTATTTATATTACTTTTTTTTTTCTTATAATGTGGCGTTACAACAAATACAGGATGGAAAAAATCAAAGGGACATGAAGGTGTACTAAAACAAAAAATTCGTACATATCCTTCGTGTTATATTGACACTACCGATTAGTACAATAAAATAGTGAGTGATTCTTAGTGAGTCTTCTGTGGTGGTTTAAACCTCTCTCCTGAAAAGTTGTCATTTTGCAGATGTGGGCTTAATAAACCAAGAGTTTAGAATTCAAGTATAATATATTTCCGAATATATCTTCTTAAGTAATGTTGATTTATAATCTGTTAAGTTATCTCCTACTTATTGCAACGTAACCACATCAACCGCAAAACATGGTAGAGGTATAACTAAAGTGACCATATTTTTTCCCTCAGAGCGGGACGCCTGCAAATTTATTATTGTTTTAAAAATAACGCATGTTTGTGACTATGATATACGGCCGGATCGAAAGAATTTTTTCAAAGTGTTCGTTCGATAATTGTATAATAATTATAACAAATTATTGGAGTAATTTCACAAAAAAAAAAAATCATGGTGGTTAAGCATTCTAACATTCAATAAAACATTAAAAACCAAAACTGTTTAATTAATCAAAGATTTAAAAAAAAAGAACCTTGTGTAGTATGGTGCTCGATGTCTGGTTGGCTGGCTTTTATTTAAAAAATGTCTTGTTACATGTGTTCTGTTTTGTGAAAGCGGGACTTTTAAGTATTTTGGGGCCAGCGGGACATGAATCCTAATGGTGGGACTATACCGCTCAAAGCGAGACGTATGGTCACGTTAGGTATAACCAACTACCCCCAAGAATGGGTTCCCGCATTGTCGTGGCGGGGGGCTCTAGAAGCCGTGATCGATTTCATCTCACGGTGAAGCTAAGAGGAACTCACGGGCCGGCCGGGATGGAGCTAGACTAGCCCGAGGAGGAGGCGTACCGCGCGGGCTCGTCTTGATCTAGGCCGAGCGGGTCCGCGCGGACGCATGCGGGGAGGAGGGTCGCGGGGGAAGAGACGTGTCGGTGTGTCTTTGCAGCACGCCCTGTCCTCCGCGGCCGAATTTGGGCGATTGGCCCGTGCGGTGGGCACTCCTAAGGACTCTACGGAGAGTCCACGTGGATGCGCGTAGGATGTTGCGGCGGAGCCTACCAACAGATCCGCCACGGGGGCTGGGGGAGCATCCTCTGAACTTCACAGTTGAGGGGATGTTGTCCTGACCCCATGGCCCCCGGGTAGCGGACTCGGGGGAGTTCGCTGCCCAGCATGCAGGGGCCCGAGACGGAAGGCTCGCCTGGTGTTCGGCGAGCCTTACATTTGGAGTCGGGGGACCATTGTGTCTCCCTTCTCGGGGTTCCCCTTCCGGGTTCAATCAAGTCCCACATAACCCCGGCTCTGCCCCCGCAGGGCCGGGGTATCTATAAACAGATTCCCTCGGGTAATAAAATAAAAAAAGGTATAACCTATTAACACTATATCGTAAAATGACCTACAAACTTTAGCTTAATAATAATAAAGCACACACTCATAGCTGTTAGTAGACTAGACTTTTGTTTCAATAACAATTGAATTACATATTTTTCAGTATCATTTTCTTGAATAACTTAAGGGGGTCACCAGACAATTTAGCAGCAGTAAAGCTCCTTGTGAAAGAGTTCGTCCACTCGTCGTACTCGTACTCGTCGTACTCGTCGTACTGCCACTTTGCCTATTTCTGTTGTCAAGTAGTCTTGTCAGTATTACTGTGTTCCGGTTTTGAAGAGTAAGGGTGTTGGTGAAATTACAGGCACATGGGACTTGTCAACGTATGTGTCAGGGTGACGAGCGCAGTGGCAGTGCCCCTCAGATCTTCCCATCCCATCAGTGCCCATGAGATCTTTGTAATTTAAAGCTCTGAGTGGCCCTGCAACTGTTATGGACAGGCGCACGACTTGATCGTTTCGTCACTTGCTATTATGAAAATAATTATATTTTAACCTTTAATTAAACGATATTACGCTTGGAGCCAGTAGTTGACCAATCAGGAGCTGCGACTTTAGCTCCTGATTGGTCAATTCAAGGTCATATCGCGCAACGCGACAAATTGGGACAATATATTGCCAGAGTCGGGGTATTGTGAATCCACCTTAATTGTGGTGTTGTGAAGCAATATTTATTCATACAAGAAATAAATTTTCATTATGTTTATTTCCTCGCAAATGTTTTGAAAAACGTTGTATGTAGCATGGGCGGTAAAAAATTCCAAACCACGAGTCGTTGGAAGTCCTCAGCCTTCGGCTACGGTTTTCTAATAGAGAATCGTTACTCCGTCCCACCATTTATTTGACTTTTGATAGCTCGAATTCTAATCAATTAGTGATGACGTAATGTCCAATTCCATTTTTTATAACAATCGTTTTTATTTATGAAGAAATTTAATCGTGAATGTGAGCGGGTTCAAAAAAGAAGATATTGTCTGATTGAGATCGTGATGTTGCATTTGACAATGTATGGACTCAAGAATGAATAATTAATGTTAATGAGCATTCCAGTGATGATTCCCATTCACATGAAGATGAATCCAACGATTCATTATAATAAACAATAAGAATTTATCATAATTATTTATTATATATTTGATTTCATTATAATTTATTAAACAGGTACCAAAATTTATCGACTAGAATAATCTTCGTTACATAATCTGTTGGCTCGATAAATATCGGAGCTAAACAGCACGTCGCTTCATTAAAATTAAAAAATAAAAGAGTCCAGAAGGTATCGCACTTTTTCGTCTATGGTTGTATATCAATAATTACGGAACTTCGGAGAGATGCATATATCATAGTTAAATAAATGGTTGGATGAAGTATAGTAATATTTACCATCCTTAAATACACAATGTACTATTTTGAGTATGATATCAAGCAACGTAACGGGACGAAAAAGTCATGCGCCTGGTTGTAAGCGACGCGCCCTGAGCCAGTCACGGTGAAACTTTATTGGACAAGTCCCATGTGCCTGTTATTTTACCAGAACCCCTACCCTTAAAACATTGCTGACAACTCTTTCTCGAGGAGCTCTACTGATACTGTAGTAGGTAGACTCATAAATATGTATATTGTAGGCATTTCCGGATATGAACGAAAGTTAATAAATCACTCGTGCGCCGTCAGCTTTTTGATTTTCTCTTTGATCTGAATACGTTCATTACTACAGCTACTTAAAAAAATATTAAGAATTTGCTTACCTAAGGAAGTCCCTAGAGCTAGCAAGTCTCTTCAGCAAACTAGATTTCGTCGCAGTGGTTAAGTACAAAGGGAGCCCGTTTTTCGGAGGCTGGATCTTCAGCGCACCAGATTTTGTCCTGCTCAACTCCCCAATCGCGGTAATATAGGAACCATCTCGTAACATCTCCTCCATAGTCTGAAGTCCTCGTTGCCGAACGCCCGAGAAGAAACCCCACACGTGATCAATTACACCCGGGGACATTGGTTCGAACTTGTCAGATATCACGTCCATGTCTGTTTGGTAGTAAAGATGATAATAAAATTAATAAAATACAGGACTATTGAAGATTATTTCCCTAATCTTTCGAATTCCTGTACCGGCAAGACTTTTAGGAATTTTAACAGCAATACCTTTCAATAACGGTGAACGAAAACATCGTAATGAAACTTGCAACCTTGGAAAAAGTTCGATTGTTGGTCATGTGCAGCAAGCGAATACATTTAGGTGAAGACCACAGACATATATATAAACAGACCGTGCTCTCTTTGAAAACCAAGCGTGCTACACTTTTCGTACCTCCGATGACGTCACAAGCGCTATTTAGTGATGGGAAATCTCCTTCGAAGACGCCGACGCAACACGTATTTAGAGCATATTTGTTGATTATAAGACATTTGCGACATTAGACAAAGACTGCTAGATGCTCTCTCCAGGTGTCGCAAGCCTTAGAGCTATGTCATATGATGCGTTGAGTCGGCATTGCGACGCCTGAGTCCTTGAGGGCACACGGTGCGTTGAAAAGGCGCGACGCGACAAGGGGCCACGAGACGAAGCGGGGAGGGGTGCTGCGATGCGTAAGTCCGTGTGGCATCGCTCTTAGTCGTTTACTATGACACCTTGGCGAGGTGTTGCTGTTCGAAACTGGAAATCATAGCTAATTTACTATAAACAACACACTTACCCAGCAGTTCAGCTGCCATGGCTTCAATAACTTCGACGTTATACTTCCCATTGCTGAGTACGAACGGCGTGGCATTGCAAACCTCGTGAATAGTACGCGTCTGGTCCGACCAGAAGCCGGCCGATGTCCGCGCGATCACATGTTCTTTTATTGTTAATCTGCAAGTTTTTAACTAGATAACTAAGGATAGGCGAAGTACCTAAACTTGGTAGTACAAGTTAAAGTAATACACATAGAGTGTATAATAGCTCTCTCTGAAATCCCGGAATTAACATTATTTTTTTATGATATCAAATTTAGTAGCAGTACCGCTCTATGGTGGCAGTAGTTGACCGGACAAACTCTTTTACAAGGAACTCTAACGCTACCAAATTTTTAGCTACATCTATCTTTACGCAAAACTTTAAAATTGTAGTCAAGACGATGGGCAAGAATCTTCAGGATGTCATTGCCACTATCACGCACTCGCTTTAGCAGAGACGACACCTTTTTTTGTAATACACTTGAATTACTGATGCGCCAGCTAAATTTGTAAACCTCATACCTCCATTAATGTGAACTTTTCGTGCAGGCACAAAAAACAGAATTACTACAAATAATTTTACATGACTATCTGCGATTGTACCTTTATTTAAGGGGGAGCAAAGGAAAAATTCCTAATCTTCCATATCCACTTTAAAGTTAAAAATAAAATATTGTATGAGTAACTACACGATATATTCAAGCATAGACATTAATCAGAAACATAAAACAATAAAGTTTCCTCGATAGATAAAAATCACGAAATGACCTCTAATTTTCACATTTTTTCGATTTATCCTCGAAATGCTACAGGTTATTAGGACAAAAATTAGATACGTAATTATATTTATGCATGATCGAGAACTGTCACTACGGATTTTTTTTTAATCCCTTTAGTTTTAGAGTTATTCCGCTAAAACGAATTTGGTACTTTTAATGCGCAAAATTCAACATCTCCTGTCGCATGTCACGCGAATTTCAGGCACATATTTGTTTCACAAATTTGGGCGGAGCCAACGTCAAAACTTTTTTGGCATGCTCCCTCTTAATAACTAGAAAGCGGTCTAGAAATATATTTTAAGCTTTAATAGCCCGGTTGCGCTCGATAATCGATAAGTAAAAAAGAAGTTATAATACGAGTTTTTCAAATTTCGCCGATGCATTGTAATTTCTAATGTTGCAGTAAGGAAGTCAACACGCTTGTCAACACGGAATTGGATTAAGCTAGTCAGAAACCAGAAAAATGTCCATATACTAAAAGCGAAAAAGACGACCGCAGCTTCGCCCAATTATGACCTACGCTAGAGTCGTATTCGCGCAGGTGAATCCCACCCTGATCCACGCCTACACGTTATTCAGAATAGATTCATGCGCAACGCGACGTGCAGCGTGAACCTCCACGTCCACTTACGGCTCCCCACAATAGCCCAATTCATGAAACAGGCATCGAAAGTATACTTCGAGTCTGCTCCTCACCACCCCAATACCCTCGTGGAGGCTGCTTCCAATTACGTCCCCCTCCATCCGTACCACGTTCATAGTTCCCGTCGTCCAAGGGAAGTCCTCAACGACCCTGACGACCCTACCACTCTCACCACTTTAAAGGTCAACCAGATCGCTAATCAGTTCAACCCCTGGCGAGGTCGTAGAGAACTTCAGCACGTACACTAGCAGATTCTCTCGGAAGTACAACATTTCCGATCGGCTCAAGCGGATACTGCTTTTAATAAGTGTGTGGTGGCTCCCTAAAGATAATATTATGTAACGGTCGTAAATTGTTGTTAAGTTGAAAGCGAGTTGTAAAACAAATAACAGAAAGCTTTCCAATGACACAATATATCATGCATGGTCATATTCAAACAACTTTCACTTTTTTGTTCAATAATGTACGTTTAACGCAAATAACTTGGCGGAAGGTAGAATTTTTTCTTTTTTTTTCTCTCGCGATTAGTGATAGAGCCACTTACAGAGTGTTATGACTATTATTATAATTATTATTAGTAGCCTACGCGGCCCATCATCACTGCGACCATTGACTGATCTATTGTGATCACCACTGATTACATTTCAGAGCCAAGGCCAACAGCATTAAAGAACTGAAGGACTTTCCTGGCTCCGACAGTTTTTATATCCTCTGGGCGTGGTCTGTAGCTACCCAGTATGGAACTTCGTACGCCCATTAGGGCGCGATTACATTATTTATCGTTGAACGACAGTCGTGTCTAGCAGTTCCCGCTAGATCGTGACGACAATTTATCGGTTCACGGCAACTGCTTTGACATTTGCACGACAGAATCGTTTGAAGCTACGATTACGTGCCGTCACATTTTTATCGTGTCGTTTTATTTATCGCCTGACGACTGTCGTTCTAGCTGTTCCCATTATCACGACTGTCTGTCGTCGAAACGTCAAAAATGTCGTGAACGACAGTTAATTATGTTTTACTATATGTGAACAACTTCATTTAAATATACAAGCCACGACACTTTAAACTGTACGACTATCTGTCGTCACGACATAATGGGACCGCGCCCTTAGAGGGCAGCACTCGGTGAGGAGATGCACAGGAGTTTCACTCGGCTCGTGGTAGACTCTACATTCTCTGTTTTCTCTCTGCCCAATATTTGACATGTGCTTGTTCAAGCAACAATGCCCTGTTAAGGTTCTAGTCAGCATTCTGATGCCATTCCTGTCAAGTGACAGAGCTTCCATACATTGTTTGGCACTGTAGGCAGCTATCCGGGCTTTTGAATGCTCAAGAGTGTTTTGACTAAAGTTGTTTTTAAAACGGGGAAATATATAATATTATTGAGTGAAATTTAGAAATAGGAGGATGTGGCTTTCCTACTGACACATTTTTCTTTTTTTTTTAATATCAAATAGCATTAGCATAAAAGAAACTAATTTCTGACCATTGTAAAGATATAACGATTTCCCGCAAAAAATATCAGAAAATTTATGAAGAAAAATTATGCAATTTAATAATATTAATAATATTATAGAAATATTCTTACCCCAAAATATAACTTACAATAATTGGCTTTTCATTAAACCTCAAATTCAATGCTATAGCATTATAAGTTATTTATGTAGTTATAAGTAGTTATAACTACATAAATAAAAACGAAGAACATAACTATTTCTATTATCCATATACTATACACACATATCAGGATTGTAATTGTTATAAGTAAGGAGATTGAAGAACGGTTGTAATAAAGTCAGTATCTGTAAATTTAGACAACCTTTGCTTTTTACGTAACAACTATAAAAATGAAAAAATAATTTCCATAAACAAATTTTGAATTTTATAATTTGAGTTAATAAACAACTTAAATAAGATAACATGTTTTAATAGCCTAAATGCCGAGCCTTTATAGGCTAATATTAGGGGTTAAAGTATGAAATTGCCGTTTTATTGCAATAGGTTCTTTGAATTTTCATAGAATCTTCATGGTTTGAGGTTTTCGAATGAAACTTTTTTCAAATGGTTTCTGTGATTTTTTTTTTTTAAATTTGAAACATTTGAATATCGACTTTCAATTGTTTTTGTTATTCAATTTAGACAAGAAAGATGGATACTGCGAAAATTCGAGTGATTTTTGAATACGAGTTCCGACGTGGAACTAACGCGGCAGAAACAGCCCGCACTATCAATGCTGCGTTTGGAGAGGGGTCTACTAATGAACGCACCGTGCGATTTTGGTTTAAACGCTTTCGTGGTGGAAATTTCGACTTAAAGAACGAGGCACGAGGAAGACCGCCCACACAGGTGAATAACGATGAATTAAGAGAGATAGTGGAAGCCGATCCTAGTCAAACTACCCAGGAATTAGCGGCATGGTTTAACGTTACCTTACCCACAATATTGACTCACTTGCGTCAAATCAATAAAATAAAAAAATACGAAAAATGGGTGCCTCATGATTTGACTGATCTGCAGAAAGAAACGCGTGTTGAAACTTGTGTTGCCTTGTTGAACCGGTACAGAAATGAAGGAATATTGGATCGAATTGTAACATGTGATGAAAAGTGGATTCTTTATGATAACCGGAAAAGAAAAATGCAATGCCTGACCCCAGGTCAAATGCCACAACAGTGTCCTAAAGCAAAACTTACCAATAAAAAGGTAATGGTAACTGTTTGGTGGTCTCAGCATGGTGTTATTCACTATAGTTTTCTCCGATCTGGTCAAGCAATAACGGCAGATGTCTATTGTGCCGAACTCCAAACCATGTTGACAAAATTAGCAGTAAAACAGCCCCGACTCATGAATCGATCTTCACCATTATTGCTCCACGACGACGCGAGACCTCACACAGCACGAGAAACCATTTTGACCCTTCAGGAACTGCAGTTAGAAACCATTCGTCATCCTCCGTATTCACCAGACCTTGCTCCAACGGACTACCATTTTTTTCGTGATTTGGACAATTATCTACGTGACAAGAAGTTTTCTTCCCAGGAGGCAGTACAAAATGCTTTCACAGTTTGTGCAGTCTAGATCGTCGGAGTTCTATCGCAAAGGCATTAATAACCTTCCCATTAGATGGCAGCAATGTATAGATAATAATGGCAACTATTTTGATTAAATAAATTTGTTAAAAATTTAAAAAATAAACAATTTAGATTTTCAGTACAAATCGGCAATTTCATACTTTAACCCCTATTACTTATGTATGAAAACCTTTTTTGAAGTAGTGTCGAAATCTCGTTTTTTTCCAGGATTTTCGAGACCGTACCGAGTTTCGGTATTCTTTTCCGGGATGCGGAAATGCAGCGAGATTGAACGTACTAATCAAAACACTATTCATATGATTTTTCATAGATGGCGCTATAGCAAAAAAGTCGTTAAAAATGATCAAACAAGGATCTATAACAAGTAAAGAAAAATTCGTAAAGTCTGCTGGTTCGTTCCGCTCAGTGGAGAGAGCGTCAGCCACGGTATGCTGAAGGCGCTGGTTCGATTCCAGTCGGATCGAACGAATTTTTCTTAGTTTTCGATCTTTGTATTAACAATTATAACAAACTACTAACCTAATTTCACAAAAATAAATGAATTTCATGATAGTAAAACATCTTGATTTTCAATGAACTTAATCATTACTAATCATATTATGTTTCTGCAAAATTTTATTTCTCTCAGTCTATACCACTGTTAAATACTTTCTTTATTATTATTATTATTTACATTTATATTTAGGTTTAGTTCACTCACGTTATTATGTATTTTAAATAGTTTTAAGGGGATGCCCTCATAGCCAAAGCTCAACAAATAAAAAAAATCATAAACTAACATTATAACTGTTGACAACAACTACAATTCAAAATTTTTGCCAAAATTGGCAACCAAGCATTTGTCATTTTGCTTCATCTAAAAAAAAACAGACTATAGGCATGCCCAGAGTTTAATTCCTTGTAGGATGAATTTAGGAAACTTCTACCCAGAATCTATATTTTCGCTACTGGTACTTACAGCAGATGAAGTTCTTCAGTTAAGGGCCATGTAACTGTTGCGATAGTCCAGCACATAAACAAAAGTGTACTCAACATAAAATTAAAAGGAATTACTTTACCTTTGCACAACTCCAGTGACTGTACTGTTATAATTGCTAGTGATAGGGTTGCCCAATGGCTTTACCAAACCCCGGATCACCACATACGGAATGGTGTTATTCGGGAACTTGCTGATCTCTTTTGATAGTGTTCCATCTATATCCAGCACTGGTGCGCTCTGGAAAAACAATGTAATAAATAGATGCCCCGAGAATAGATCTCGCATACATACTTGGTAGTTGGTGTAACGGACTGTTGTCCGCAACAGCCTACCTACCCCAAATTTTTAATGTACCTAAGTGATTTCTCGAAACCCAAATAAATCCTGGACAAGCAAATGTAGTCGTAGGCAGTCTCCGCTTCTGTCTCTGTTTATCAAAGTTTAGGTAAATAAACTACCTATTCCAATCACTGGTTATGAATGACGGTACCACAAAAACTCAGACAATGTAGAAAAACAAGTCACTGACCCGACCTTAGACAGTTTAGTGATGGTAATCACTAAACTACAAATTGATAAATTAATTGATTGAATAGATTTGTTCAATTGAGTCATACTAGCGATTTTTCCTACATAACTTATTAAGCATATTTAAAATTTCCCAAATTTTAAGTCCTCCTTCAAATTCTTAAACTCAGATTACTCATTCGATTGCAATTGAAATATTTGATTTACTAATCAGTTATAAAAACTTTATTTGAATTAACCGAATGTTTTTCTCATACAGCACTATGCAACCACAGACAAGTCGTAGATGTATATATGAAAAATAACCTCACTTTTGGACTACCATTTTTCAAATACAATTTTACAATGCTCTTCAAATGAATTTGTTGGAAAAAGTGATGAGATATCAAGTGGAAATCTTCGAAATATATGTGAAAGTGTTAATTATTCGATTTATTGAGTGTTTGCTTTAGAATTTCAACCAAACACTGTTTACTTTTTGTTGAAAATGAATTGGAACAGACTATACCTACATTGACCCAGCCAGGGATCAAGAATCTAGAAGCGGTCCCATTTAAATTTAAAGAAAATATTCTACCTCTAAGGATGGCAAACTAGGGGATGACGGATTTTGCGGTCGGTTTTTTAGTACTTTGTACTGAGATTATAGGTTATAATTTAATAACCAATCTATTTCATCAAATAAAAAACTTGTTACAAACAAAAAACGATCTGGACTTTTTTAAAACGTCCCCATTAATATAACAAGGAGAGTTTGGTACATGTTATCTAACAAAATTGAAGTAAATCATTATTAAAACTGCTAACAAAAATTGCACCGCAGAGACCAATATAATGAGGTTTTATATACATTTTTGCAAGGATTTTACCTGCAAGGCGTTGAGGATATGTTTACATTTACTAAGCTGCTTCACGCAAAATCCGAGGATAAGGGAATCTATCCCCAAGATCACGGTTTCTCCGATCACCTCCGAGAGGAAGTCCATACTCATTTTGATTAATTTAAAACGACACAATGTACAATTGAAGCCATTATTTTGCTATTTTTTTTTCAAATTGAAAGATTTATTGAAATATTTTCGCAATATTCAACAAAATTGTGCAAACAGTGAAGTAAGACTTTTTTCTGCCTTAAATATTTTGACAGTTACGTTTTGTTACTATACTTTGTTATCAGCTTAATTCGTTTTTTAATAACGAAACGTAATGGAGGTTTTTGAGATGTGATTTTAATTCTTATTTTTTTCCAGTGTTTACTGCAGTTCCCAGGTATTTCTCACTTTCAGTGCAAATGCAAAAGGATATCGCACTAAAGTTCTCACTAACTTTAGACTTTCACTTTGTGAATCCTTGTTTCGTATATTTACTTGACCACGACGATATTAAAAAGAGGGTTATGATAGCAGCACCGAATATACTACTTGGCCATAGATTTTATCTCATCAATGGATTCCTCTAGACCCTTGATCGGGGGCCCTTTAGCACATTGGATTCGACTACGCTTGTAGTCATTGCAGAATTTGTTTAACAGAAATATATTATGTAGACCAATAGGATTCTCACTCATATCGCAACTTTAACAATAAAGTGACGTACTTTTACAAGTAAAATTTTTATGAAACTGACAAAATCAATTAAAAAAATAATTCTTATTCTTCTTTCTGTTTATTGGCGTTGCCCTTGTAGGATTTCGCCAGTATCAAGTGTTCCGCTAAATATATTTCATCGGTTTCAGTGGTACCAGCTATTCAATCAGTTTTGTGGGGGTACTTTGTTAGAGAGAACAAGCAATTAGAACTAATAAAACCTTGTCATATTTGGCACCAGAAAAACGGCATATGAGTGATACCACGTACTTTTTAGTAAATCTATTTTGTGGTTTTAGTTGGTAAGTAATATGTTTACTTCAATACGTTTGTATGTACGTTTCTTAAACTTATATATATAAGTTAACGCGTATCTATAAAGAAATTACAAATTGCGCAGGGTAGGCAGTGACCACAAAACAATAAATTCAATAGAAGTGCTTAGTGGGTGATACGCGTGCCAACTGATCAGTCCGCCATCTTCACTTGTGCGTACAGGTTGTCTAATTTTATTAGAACCATGTGTATAGTGGCTGTAGATTGGATATACTTTTTTGGTAAATCTTATACATATATCTTAAGATCATCGGCGAATAAAGAAAATTTACAATATCTGATATGATTGTATATGTCATAAACTTAGAGGGAGAATAAGTCATAAACAACATACGCACACAGTCCCGCACTAGGGAAACAATGTGTCGCGGGTGCCATGGACACATCGCACCCCTCATGAAAGAATGGCTTAAGTGGAGTTAAATAAAAAATGTTTATTGCTCCATTAGTCATACACAAAAATAACATCCTCTCCAATTCTTGTGACTCTATCTAAATTATATTAGTCGATAGAGTTACAAAAATTGGAGAAGATGTGGGTTATATTTTTCTGTATTTATTGGAGTAATAAACGTTTTTCACGTGACTCCACTTATGCCATTCTTCCATGAGGGGTGCGACATAGACAACCACAAATTACACCCAAACTCACAAGAGAAATAAATGTGGGCAATCACTCACTCGGCTAGGGCCCATTGAAAACCAGCGTCACAACCTAGCCCTGTGACTTTAGCTGAATGGGATCCTTTTGTACACGCCACAGCCACGCACGCACACATGTCAGTATAGTATTATGTAACCTGTTGTTGAAATGTTTTTACGCTGTTCTTTGTGTTATTTCTGTTCTAGTTATATTAGTCTTTGCTTTTGTATTTTTTTTTATAATGTGGCGTTACAATAAATGGTTTCTATTTCTATTTCAATACAAGTATTTCTCCCGGCCCGGGAATCGAACCTGGGACATCTGCGTGGCAGTCCGGCATGGTAACTGTTCGGCCACAGAGGCAGTTTATTAGCAAGGTAATTAAATCTTATACCGCTGCAATATGGTCGACTTTTTTTGGAGAACGTCTTTCAGTTATTGCCGCTAGATGGTAGCACATTGAATGAAACTATTTTTTAGAAACTACGACCAAGTGACTTTTGGCGTCTTCTGGTAATCGAAACTTAGGGCCCTTCCCATTGTTAATAGGTCAATGGCCCTTCCATTGTCTTTTTCAAGAGGTTCCTAACAAACCTGAATGAGGTTTGCTGCTCCACAAGCATCAGACTACATACATTATAGTTACATACTTCATTCTTGGTACTTTTAATCTCGCCTTCCTTAAGGACGTTCCAATCGAGATATGTACGTACATACGATGAGGTTCGTCGATAAAAATACGAAAAAATAAAACGAATCAAATACAATATTAAAACATAATTTAATCAAATGCCCATACACTTCAACGATTGCACGTTAATTCCTCCTTCTTCGCACTCGCGAGATTCTCCAAGCATTGGGTTCTTCATACTTGTTGTATAACGGCTCCAAGCGTTGGTTCTTCTTGAACTTGGAGAGCTTGGTGGGGTCGGAGAACTTGAAGAACGCTGGTGCGAACTCGACGAGCCATTTCGGATCGATCGTTGTTACCTCTCGCATGTATTCTTTCGTTGTTTGCACTAGCTCGTGGTATATTACCCTGTGGACCAACTTTTTGATTATAACAATGTAAAGAATTCTAAAAGTATAATGATAATAATAATCTCAGTACAGAGTACTAAAAAAACCGACCTCATAAGTACGTGGCATTATGTCTATTTGCTATGTTTTATTGAAATATCCTTAAATTCGCCACTATACAGGACTTGACACTGGAGATAATAAAAAATCTGTTCTCACTACTCAAAGAATATTGAGAGAAAAACGCCTTGAATTGTAGAAATAGCAAAATCAACCATTAAAATAATTGCTCCTAAGAAAATTTAGGCGCTACTTATAAAAATGAATCTTCATGCGTGAACAGCCACCCTTAGATGTGGATGATTTCATTCAAAATGAAATGGGACCACTATGGAAGTACCCCCTTTCCAACAAACAAAGAATCATGAAAATCGGTTCACAAATACCGGAGTTATCGCGTAACATACATACGAAAAAAACATACAGTCGAATTGAGAACCTCCTCCTTTTTTGAAGTCGGTTAAAAATAATAATAAATATCGACAGACATAAGACTGCAGTACTAATTAATATGTTTTATATATTAAATTATAAATTGAACTTAATAAAAATTCATTCAATAAAATAATTTGTAAAACTTAATATAGCGTAAATTGGAATGTTTTTCTTTGTAAAATTAAAAATAAGGTATTTAATTAATAAGTATTGTAACTATAGTGAAAAAATAGGGTGGTTTGCATCAATATTAGACATAACTGGTTGAAGAGTGTACCACCTCAGTGAACCGTGACCATGGGACCTGTAAAGGACCCGAAACGTCGGTTTGTTTGAAAAACAAATATACGAGATTTAAATCCGGAAATAGTTTCATTTCCTAATAATAATAAAGTTGAATAATAATAATTAACTATTAATGAATTATATAAGTTGGTTTCTATTATTATCAAAATATGACATAGTTAAATATTTAAACATCGATTTTCGATTTCACTAATCAAGATACAAGATAATTATTCGCTGAAAAATGTAGATAACAATGCAGGTCTTATAGTACATTTTATTAGATCGTACAATTCACCAAGACTTGGCACGTGAATATTTTACACAATTGTTATTTCACGTTTAATGTAGCATGCATTTAAACTTAAATTAACACAATAGCATAAACAGAAAATAGGAAATCATAAATATAACACACAATAGTTAAATTTCTTATTTTATGTTATCAAGTAAAAAATCATCAATATTTAGCATTGAGTAACTAACAAATTATGCAATTTTATTTAAAAATTTTTACAATTTAAGTCTTTAACAGCATCCGGTAATTTATTAAATAATTTAGGTGCTAATATGAACGTCGTTCTACTGTAAAATTCCAAATTAGGGCGATGTTTGGGCCGTATTTTTATTTTTAACCGACTTCAAAAAAAGGAGGTTTCAATTCGTCTGTATGTTTTTTCTTTGTATGTATGTTACGCGATAACTCCGCCATTTGTGAACCGATTTTGATGATTCTTCTTTTGTTGGAAAGAGGGTACCTCAGAAGTGGTCCCATTTAAATTTGAAGGAAATATTCCATTTCTAAGGGTAGTAAACTAAGGGGATGAATGACTTTTGAGGTCGGTTTTTTTAACCGGAGGTTAGGTTATATTCCTTGTGTTTCACATAAACACAGGTCTCGTTAATCATGGATGGCAGAGTTAATATCTTCAGTTTCCTAAAGTAAGGCACATAACTCATTCGCTGACCCACACCAATCATGGCCCTGACACATTTCTTCTGGGTTTTAAATAGTGGCATAATACGTATTGCAGCAGCATTTCCCCAGAGCAATAGTCAATATCGCAAACTAGAGGCTGCATAAGCGTGAAAAGCACAATCGTGTCCAATCACTTTTTCATGAAGTTACTATCGTGATAATTATCAAAGATAAGCCAATTGAAGGACAAAGAACACATACCATTCAGGTTGCCGATTGAAGAGCGCACTCGAAGGATGAATGTATACAACTTGGCTGTCTACCAGCGTGCGATACCCTTCCTGCGGATCCTTCTTGGCGGCGTTACGGAAGAACCCAGAACATATCGTCTTCTGGATACGTACGGTGTTCTTTCCCGCGGATACTACGTCTAATTTATGCCTGGGGAAATTTAGAAAATAATAAATTTTATCAGGAACAATAAAATTTCTAAATAATAATAATAAAACTCCTACTTTAATGAAAAAGAAAGATTATACAAGTTATAAAGTAAAATATCGTCGCCTTATTTTTTCAAATTCGTATCTCAAAGCACATAGTTACTGAAATGCAAAAATGGACGTATATACATATGTACAGGATGTTTTCACATCACATTTCCTTCATATTCAAACACTGGCTTTTACCTATTATTAAGAGCTCTCATGCCAAAAAAGTTTTGACGTTGCCTCCGCCCAAATTTGTGAAACAAATATATGCCTGAAGTTCGCGTGACATGCGACAGGAGATGTTGAATTTTGCCCATTAAAAGTACCAAATTCGTTTTAGCGGAATAACTCTAAAACTAAAGGGATTAAAAAAAATCCGTAGTGACAGTTGTCGATCATGCATAAATATAATGACGTATCTAATTTTTGTCCTAATAACCTGTAGCATTGCGAGGATAAATCGAAAAAATGTGTAATTAGAGGTCATTTCGTGATTTTTATGTATCGAGGAAACGTTATTGTTTTATGTTTCTGATTAATGTCTATGCTTGAATATATCGTGTAGTTACTCATACAATATTTTATTTTTAACTTTAAAGTGGATATACCCCTCTAAAATCAAATCGAAGATTAGGAATTTTTCCTCTGCTCCCTCTTAAAGTCCATCCAAATTAACACCCTTGATAAGAAATTTAAAATAAATACAAATTTTTGCCATCTCCTGAATAATTACTCTTTATACGATACGAGTTTGGGAAAGTACGACATCGACATGTGACACGCTGTAATGACAAGTTAAGAATGAACTCTCGTAAGTTTTATACCTGAATTATTTAAATCACACATCCATCTTGTGGATTCCTATCGGGATTCTTAACTGCCTCGGTGGCCGAACGGTTACCATGCCGAACTGCCACGCTGAGGTCCTGGGTTCGATTCCCAGGCCAGGAGAAGTGTATAGCCTACATTTATTTCTCTCGCGAGGGTGTAATTTGTGGTTGTCCATTTGTGTGTCCATAGCACCCGCGATACAGGGTTTCCCTAGTGCGGGGCTATGGGTGTGTTGCGTTTTTATTATTTTTATGTTAAATAGTAACAATTATTTCATAGAGTCATAAAATCTAAAAAAAAGGCACTTTGTTTAATTTTTTTTTTTTAATACAGATTTTCATTTGCTAATTCCTAAATATAAACTTTACTTAATTATATTCTCATAAGACGCGGTAGGTTTGACCTACCGTCGCTCAAGCAGAGGCCGTGGGTTCTAATCGCTTTCCTTCGCAACCTTGAGTTGTTCGGAATTTACGTGCGAATTTTTAATTTAAAATTTACCACGACGACAATTTCGGTCAAAGGTTGACAACTGTGGGATAACGTGTGAAGTCTGGGCGAGAATGGCGGACTATGGGCTAAACCTGAGAGGAGACCCGAACCCAGCGGTGGGACGTGTAAATGGGTTGATGATGATGACTTTATATTCTCACTTTTAGTTTTAGTTAAATGTGCTGGTGTATGTAGTGTTGTCATCGAGTATATAACCAGAAATAGAGACGAAATGTCATTTAATTTGTGTGAAAACTATTCTGCCATATCATTACTGTGACAACTGCGCTCCGATTGGCCAGCCCGAATTAGAAACAATTGACGGGTGTCGTCGATTATTTCACTTCAAATCGACCAGTTAACTTGAGTTTTGCTATAATGGACGAAAATTGCAAAATTACATACTTAATATTTAATTATCGGTGAAAATTGGTTCCGTTTGTTTTATAATTAGATGTTTTTCTCCACACCGCCGAATGAAACAGCACGCCCCTGTTAGAGATATTATCTATATTACAATAAATGCAGAATATTTTTGGAATATACGGAAACGTACACACAGGTCAATTGTTGGCGCTGTCTATATTCCAGTACAAACGAGTTTTGATATTTATAAGTGATGTATCACTGATGAGTTACCAGGAATGTATGTATAGTCATTATTTCGTCTCTATTTCTGGTTATATACTCGTGATGTATAGAAAAACAATTAATACTATAAATATCAAATTAATCTTACCTATCCATAATCCCAAGCAATTGCTTCCTGACATCCTGCGCTCGTTTTAAAGTTCGAATTTGAACAAAGTTCTCGTAGCACCACGCGTTAGAAAACTTGTTGTTCCTCCAGCTGTTATATACTGCCAGTAGCGTTAAATGGTCTCCTTCAGGTTGGTTGAACTTGGCCTTTTTCTGGTCAGCCAGTGCTTGCTTGTCTTTTGGTCGGTAGAAAACGTTTTGTACGCTGAGCATTGACACTATGGTTAGAATTTCGTCAGAACATTGGAGGGCGACGGACATTATTAGTATCTTTGATAGATTTGGTTCTAGAGGGAATTCCGCCATCTGTAAAAAAAAATAGTAGAGGTTTATCTTGCAATGGTTTTAGTGTATGTGTTTTTAAGACGGAGTAAAATAACACTTGCAGGGTAGCCAGTTTTCGTAAAAACTTTAAATAGTCATGTACTTGTTGTCGACAATTTTATCGATAGATTGTGAAAGTAACTGTAACGTACGTAAGTGTAACTGCCTCTTTGCCCGAACGGTTACCATGCCGGACTGCCATGCAGAGGTGCCAGGTTCGATTACCGGGCCGGGAGAAATATTTGTATGGCCTACATTTATTTCTCTCGTGAGTTTGGGTGTACGTTATTATTATTAACGTACGTAACATTTTGTTAAAAATATCAGAATTGTTAATGTTACGGCGGTCTAATGATTACTAATAATATTCTTTATTCTTAATACTACAGTTGGTCTATTAGTATCGAAATCAATTTTTTAGTCATGCACATTGTAATAACGGCAGGAGGATTTGATTATGTATATTAAATTCAAATGAAAAATGGAAATATGTAACCTATTTGCATTGACTTACAAATAAATGGACGACGGGTCTAATACAAAAACCACGAAAAAAATGTCCCTAGTCAACCTATTTAAACGTAGTGACATGTAAAGGAATATGTAAAAGCTAAAACGTTGTATTTAAATTGTAATGTCATCGCAGTACTGTCTAATTTTGCTTGCTTCGCTGTCAGTCGAACAAACGAAGACTATAGCGTGAATGACGCTCTGTATACGATTTTAACGCCCTATAAATACGATTTTAACGCCCTATAAGTTCGGACACTTTTTAGCGCGGACCCGACGTCCATATAATTGTAAGTCAATGTCTATTTGCATTTTTTGTAACGCAATTTGAAATCAATACCGCCACTAAATGAAAAAATCAAGAAAAATGAAAAATTTTGGAAAACGGTCATTAAAATTTCTGAAATTAAATTTAAATTTGAAAAAAAAACGAGTTTCGTTTATTAACCAGAACACCCAGACCAGAACCAAATTCGAAAAGTTAATTTCCCGAATAGGTCCTAACGTGAATCGAACCCGATACCTCCTCGTCCAGCGTCCACAGTGCAAACCGTTGGGCCATTGAGGTGGTAAAATTACTTTTGAATTCTACTTTTCTTCTGCCTATTACGACAAGAATATCGGAAAATCTAAAATTTGGGGCTATAAAGCTAATGCGTTGTCGGTTATGGGACATTCGATTATGCTGGATTTTTTGATCCCTCCAATCCATAGTACATGTGTTTCCATGCGATATGAATAATAATAATAATAACGTGCTTGACAACCACAGCAATTGGTTTCAAACTAGGAAATTGGCAATGCAATGAGTACCAGAGCTACGAAATTAACTACAGGACACTGCTCATAATACCCACAACTAATTTAAAACAAATTATTTTACAAATCAAATCGACTGGGAATTGAACCTGAGACTGAGAAGATGTTGTGCGCTTTTGTAATAATATGGTCTGATCTTACCCTACGGCCGAGTCTTGTGAGTAGACCCTCGGAGTCCAGCGCCGAAAGAGAGTGCAGCTGCTCCAGTGCCATGATCAGGGACTCGACGGGTGGCGCGTCCATGAAGTCGAAGTGCAGCAGGTCGTTGATGCCCATCGTTTTCAGCTGTAGCACCTGGAACACATCATTACATTACATTTTTTATTTTATTTTTTATAATATCAAGTGACGGGACGAAGTCGTGCGCCTGATCCTAAGCTACACGCCTGTCCATAACAGTTGCAGTGCCACTCAGAGCTTCAAATCGCAAAGATCTGAGGGGCACTGCCACTGCGCCTGTCACCTTGCGTTATAAGTTGTAATAATAAGTTGACAAGTCCCATGTGCCTGTAATTGTGTAACAAAAATAAATGTATTTAAATGCAGAAGTTCCACATACTTAAGTTCGGTCCGCCTGTAACGGAGCGTTACATGTTTATTTTCATTAAGGAATAAACGTTTTTCTGTTTTTACAAATATTGCAGTAAAGCATTTTTTAAATTTAGTTAAATCATAGATTTCCATCGACAACGGCGGTTTACAATAGCCTTTGCTCCGATGAACTAGCAAATTTTGAATAGTGACTGAGGGGAGGCGGGCGCGGACATATCGATCAAGTTCGAGACCATCATTTTTGCACTGTATGCAAAATAAAGCATTTTTTGCGATTTTCCAAGTTTTGCGTGAGGAAATTGACATGACCATAAAGTACAAAGCGAAAATGGCGGACTGAGCTCAACTATGTAGAACTCCGCGTACTGTTGGTACACGTACCACGCACACTAAGCACTTCTACGGTATTTATTGTTTTTTTTTAATCTAAGTGACGGGACGAATTAGTCTTGTGTCTGGTGGTAAATAAAACGGTTGCAGTGCCACTTAGAGCGTTTAATCGCAAAGATCTTAGGGGCACCGTCACCCTGAGACATAAGTTGACAAGTGCATGTAGTTTCGCCAGCATTAGCATTGTTCAACGTTTACTGCCAATATTAAATGTAGGAAGTCAATAAGCTATGTTATACTTACAGTTGTAGCAAGGTTGGTGCGTTGTATCTCAGGTACAGGCGTTGGCAGCATTTCGTCACGATATGCGCGTTCCGTGTACAGTCGGTAGCACTTGCCCGGACCCGTCCGTCCGGCACGACCAGCGCGCTGCTTTGCCGCTGCCTGTAAGATAAGAACACTCTTGTCAATATAATATATGTAGATGGTTCTTTTACGACCTCGATGGCCTAATGACTTGGACGGTTCTGGATAGTGCCCTGGAGTGAATTCCGTTGTTTTAGTACTTATATTATAGCTAATTCCCTATTTTGAAACCAGATAATAGATCTGGAGCATTATTGTTTGTAAAGTCGCGGCCTATCTCAAAAACGCCTATCCATGGTTTGAAAAACGAAACTAAGACAGATCGAAGGGATTTTTTCTGAGTGTTCGATCTTTGTATTAATAATTATAACAAACTAATGGAGTAATTTCACAGAAAAAATATAATTGAATATCAATTTAATAAAAATTTAAAAACTAAGGCTGTTTTGGCGCGTAAAGCCCACGAATAGTCCTTTTTTTTATAAGTGACAGGACAGACAAGTCGTGCGCGCTATCGTAAGCTACGCGCCTGTAGTGTTTTTTTTTCTTTTTATTGGGGAACAAACAATCTTATACAAATTATAAAATAAAAATACATTTAACTTATTAGTAAACCTTAGTGAACAAGTAAAAGGTATAAGCAAAGACGAGCAATGCTCAATTAAAACATGTTTGTCTTTTTTACTACACTATTCCACAACCACTGAACCTGAGAAACCCTGTGTTGCGGGTGCCATGGACACACACATAGACAACCACAAATTACATCCAAACTCACGAGAGAAATAAACGTAGGCTATACAAATATATCTCCAGGCCCGGGAATCAAACCTGGGACCTCTGCCTGGCAGTCCGGCATGGTAACCGTTCGGCCACGGAGGCAGTTTCTGAGATTTAGATCCGATAAAATACTCCCATTTCTAAAAAAAACAAACATACCTGTGAAATAGGCGTAACAACAAGCGAGTCCATGCCAGTCTTCGAATTGTACACCTTCTGCTTCACAAATCCAGGATCAACCACGTAGTAAATACCATCAATGGTCAGCGAAGTTTCAGCAATATTAGTTGCGATCACAACTTTCCGGGATCCCGGTGGGGCTGGTTCGAAAATTCGCGTTTGCATCTCGGAAGGCAATGCGGAATACACAGGTAGTATTATCAACTCCGGTACGTCAGGGCCTAGGGATTTCATCCGTTCATACAGTATCTCACATGCCGTATCGATTTCTTCTTGCCCAGTTAAGAAGAGTAGAATATCCCCCGGTGGTTCACGTAGATGTATCTGCATACATGTTATAAGTGACGCGTCAAGGTAGTCGGTTTCTGGTTCTTTCGTGTACAAGACCTCGACAGGGAACGTTCTGCCTGGTATGGTGAAGATTGGCGCTTCGAAGAAATATTGCGAGAATTTTACAGCGTCTAACGTAGCTGAGGTTACAATGAGTTTTAATTCTGGCCGTTTTTGAACCGCTTGTTTTAATAGGCCGAATAGGACGTCAGTGTGAATCGTTCGCTCGTGAGCTTCGTCTAACATAATGACGGAGTAGGATTTGAGATCGAGGTCCATGAGGCATTCGCGGAGTAACATACCGTCTGTCATGTACCTGGAAACACAAACTTGTTAATACACAGCGATGGTAGCTTTTTGGGAGAAATAGAATTTAATTTTACTGCCGCCAAGCAGTGATGTCAGCATTATTGTGTTCCAGTTTTGAAGGGTGCTGGTGAAATTATAGGCACATGGGACTTGTCAACTTATGTCTCAGGGTCACGGGGGCAGTGGCAGTGTTCTCAGATCTTTGCGAAGCTCTGAGTGGCACTGCAACTGTTATGGACAGGCGTGTAGCTTACCATTAGGCGCACGACTGTTCGTCCCGTCACTTGATATTATAAAAAATATAAATAGAATGTGTCCATTACTGTGTTCCGATTTTGAAGGGTAAGGGTGTTGGTGAAGTTGCAGACATATGGGGCTTGTCAATTTTATGTCCCAGGGTGACAGGCGTGGTGGCATTGCAACTGTTATGGATACGCGTGTCGCTTAACTCATAGTGAAGCTTAATCATGTAAGCGGATCATTAACTTAAGCAATAAATGCATGACGTTTACACATAGAAAATCTTTTTTAAAGTTTGTTAGAGACAAGATCTCGGTGGCTCAACTGCAGGGTGTGTTGTTATTAAGATGTTTATTTTCCCTGATATTTATCATGATAATTATCAGATATATATTTTTTACCCACAATTTTTTTTTTCAAGTACGGGAACAGAGCGTAAATACATAATAAATCCTGTATCTTAGGACTCCTGGTCTCTACCTCTTGGTTCAACAAATTGTATTCTTAAGATTATATCATTCACAAGTATGGTAGGTAATTACTTTAGCAGGTAAATGTGTGGATTGTTTGTGTGTGTTTCATTCTAATTCATAGTTTTGTCTCTTTAATTATTATTGACTAAAAATGACAAACAGTCAGAAAACTAAACACTTATAAATATGAAGAAAAATTTTCAGGTAAACGATTTGGTTTATGACTTATTCCAGATTGACATTAGATACTTTTGGATAAATCTGTGAGATAAACACATGACACGAAGTTCATTTTTTAAATATTATAACAAATTATCAAGTATATTTATCAAGATAATTATTATACCAATTATCATATAGTTATCATGACAATTATCATAATAGTTATCGTAGTAATTATTATGATAATTATCAATAATAATTATCACTTCTAAAATGTCAAGAAATGTATACAATTGGTCAAGTAGGTGGCAAGCTAGAGCTAGAACTAGAGAAAAGGCAAAGAAGTTACTTGATGACGGTCTCCGGACTGGTGCAGTCTTCGAAGCGGATGGTGTAGCCCACCTCCTGGCCCAGGCGGCAGCCGAATTCCTCGGCCACGCGCTTGGCCACGGACATGGCGGCGACGCGGCGCGGCTGCGTGCACGCGATCTTGCCGCGCGCCGTCAGCCCGCACTCCGCCAGGTACTGTGTGATCTGCGTCGTCTTGCCCGACCCCGTCTCGCCGATCACTATCAAGATCTGGTTGTCAGCCACCGCCTACGGAGTTCCACAACTAATAATAATAACCTCCCTAAATCCAGCAAACTACAATGGGAAAAGCGCTAAAGGCCCAATGTACATTCAAATGTACTAAATATATGCTTCAGACCCAAGCAAGTATACCCTCAGTTTTGTATGCAAAACCTAATTTTCTGGATACCCTCTAAAATGGTTATTTATCAGTAGTCCGAAACGACATTTTCCAGAAATTTACTTTTGCTCGAATTTTCAAAACCTCGAAAATAATTTTTAGAGGAAAATGTTTTTTCTTTTAAACCTAACGTAATCGTGTCTTTGCGATAAACGTCTAACATATCTCAAAAGAACAACGGTTTCGTTATAATTCGGTTTTCGGTGTAACGAAAATTCGAACAAACGTTATTTCGGAAAAAAAATCGATTTTGTGATAGGTTACCCTATAAAATGCATGGAGTTAAATTTGAACGCGACATTTTCATTATAATGTACACTGGTCGTTTATTTCATCATAAAAATTATATTGTTTGGGTCTGAATCACTTCACATATGTACATTTTGATGTACACAAGGCCTTAGGAGGATAAAAGTATTTTCATCTCCACAAAAAAACATATTACAGCTAGAAACAGTTTGCACATTGAGTGTTAGCTGCAAATGCAGCAAGCGACTTTTGCCCAATGTGAGATGACCTTAAGTCCAATAAAAAACGCATAGCAAATAAATTATCACGTACCTTGGTTAATTCATCCCTCAACTTATAAATAGGTAGCGATTGCCTTTGCTCCAGCAGTGACAAATTAGTCTTCTTGCCAAACGATGACTTCTTCCCACCAATCACATGTTTCTTCCACTCTGGCAGGTCCTGTGGAGTGATGCCAGTCCCCCTCATATTGGCTGCTAGAGCTCTACCATCGGACTCTGGTAATGGATCTATCCAATTCTTATTTAAACCTATAATGTGAAATAAATTCATTGTTAATAACAAATAAAATTTAATTTCTGTAAAAGCGGTTAATTTGATGCATCTAGTATATAACCGGAAATAACGAGACGACACGAAACGAAATGAGACGAAATGTCATTTAATTTGTTTGAAAACTATTTTGACAAATCATTACTGTGACAACTGCGCTCCGATTGGCCCAATTTAAAACAATTGACGGGTGCCGTCAATTGTTTCACTTCTATTCGACCAGTTTAACTTGTGCTTTCCTGTAATGGACGAAAATCGCAAAATTACATATTTAATATTTAATTACCGATTAATTGTGATTCCGTTAATTTTTTAATTAGATGTTTTGCTGTTTTTCTCGCACCACCGAATGGAACAGCCCCCATTGTTAGAGATATTATCTTTATTACAATAAATACAGAATATTTTTGGAATATACGGAGACGTACACACAGGTCAGTCATTGGCACTGTACTACTATTTCAGTTTTCTAATTTATGATTTCAGTGCAAACTAGAATTGATATTTAAAAGTGATACAAGGCCCATTTGCCTGATGAGTTGCCATGGATGGATGGGTCTTATATGGTCTCTAGTTCTGGTTATATACTCGATGATTTGATGTAACATAAGCACATGGTTGTAAATTAGGTGTGATATACTAAATTGGCTAAGACAAAAGACACTAAGGGTGTAGTCACAACAACAAAAGTATTCAGCTCATGTGACTATATACTATAATAATAATGAGGCAGACAACCACTAAAATAACCGGGTCTCATCCCTGTACTATGACTACTAGAGTGCAGATTTTACTCCGGTGCACTATAAGAACACTCACCTAACATAATTTGCAAGGCTGCAAAGTTGTTGCTTGACGTGAGTGCTTGTATTGAAACTAGAGCAAGCGAAGGAAGCTAAGGGTCGTATTCTAGAACTCTACTCAATGCTCAAGTCAGGATTGCAATTGAAACACAAGCCCTGGAAATACGACCCTAATGGCAGGGACTTGAGTATGATATCAAGTGCTTTAAACCATACTCAAATCCTAACTTGAGCATTGAGTAGAGTTCTAGAATACGACCCTAAGATTCACTTGCTTTCCTCGTGGTTCAAAAATAGATTCCTGGGCGTAGCAAGGGTTTCAAGGCACAAAACGCAAAACAACTTTGCTGCCGAGTGAGACACACAAGTTTTCACCTCACTATAGCGAGGAAAATGGTAGATGAAAGAAAGAAACAGTTGAACTATTACAAGTCAGTTTCAAACTTAGAGGATGGAAATAAATAATGGAAGATTTTTTCATCGAAAGAAAAAATTAGGTACACCACAGTCCACTGTTAATTTCTAATTTCAAAAACCTTCAAGACTCAACTCACACTGACGCAGAGTCGAAGGCGTCGAGACGCGTCATGTTTTTCGTCTATAGCATATTCATCTCTATTTTCCCATTAATAAGGTACAAATTTGTGTTACGCAAATATGGAATCGCGCGTCGACGCTTGGTTAAAGGCGAGCGGTTTCGCGCGTCGCCATGCGTTGTAGCTGAAAAACAGGACGCGACACGAGACGCTTCGACTCTTCGCCAGTGTGAGTTGAGCCTTACTAAACGCTTTTGCACGCAGAAGCCTTTCCGAGCTAGTGAGGTGAAAAAGTTATTTTCCAAATTGGTCCTACTAGGAACCGAATCTGGGAATCCCTAATGCAGCGAGGCCACCGAAGTCATAGTGTATTAAGGAGTATAGTTGCCTAAAGTGTGTATGTGACTCTGTAGGCGTACCTGTAGGTAAACTTTCCATCTCCTGCTCCCTCTGTATCATTTTCTGTTCCCGTCTCTCTTTCGCAAGGGCAGATTGCATCATAGCAGCTTGTGCCAGAGACCCGTCTGGATTCTTCACAATCCTCACCGGCGACAGATCATGTAACGCCCTGCCGTGACCTTGAAGGAACGGCGGTTCTTCTTCTACAAGTTCTATTTCTATATCAGCTTCTCCATCTTCGTCTTTTGGTAGAAGACCGGTCTCTTCGTCGAAGTCTGGCAACTCGCTCTTGTCTATTACCCCTGATGATATCATCTGGAATATAAACAACCCATGTATCAATAAAACAATTTACATATTTATTTATATTGAACACTTAGAAAAAATTCCTTCGATCCGGCCGGATTCGAACCGACGTTCTAGCAGACCGTGTCAGTGCCGCTTTGCCAACTAAGCCACGGAATGAATCAGCGGACCTTACGAATTTTTCTATGTGCTTGTTGCAGATCTTTGTTTCTGATTTTTTAACGACTTTGTATGCCGTAGCGCCATCTGTGAGAAATTTATTTCTTCACTCAGAGAGGTAGGTACCTTTACAGCTACCATCGGTGACTAGAGATGTCGCTTTAGTCATTGTAATTTTGAAATTTTTTATTGAATATCACGATGTTTTACTAACATGATATTCATCAACTTCCTCCTAACGTTAGTCCATTTTTCCCTTTGTGCATGTGCTATGTAAATTTATTTAAAAAAAGTTTGTTTCTGTAATATGTGTAGGTTCTCTGTCGTTGTAGACACACATTAGAAAGATGTGTTGTAGATTCTCCTCTCAGTGTATGTTGTCGAATTCACCGGTCAATTTTTAAGTTGAAACGCGTGCGGTCCTCAACTCGACATTGGCGAAATCATCGATTACTTCGATGGGGCCATAACATTTAAAAGAAGAAGAATTATTAGTTTGTTAAAAGCTCCACTAGTTTGTTATAATTATTAATAACAAAGATCGAACACTAGAAAAAAAATATCTTGGTAGTAAATCATAGCGACATTCAATAAAAACTTTTAAAGAATTTATATAATCTGCAGATGATGCTTTCCACAATCTAGAAATCTGCTGTCCTAAAGTAGACTCAATTTATTTGGATGGAAGTGTCGCATTATGGAATAACCTAACCTCAGTACAAAGTACTAAAAAAACCGACCTCAAAAGTCGTTCATCCCCTAGTTTACTACCCTTCGAGGTGGAATATTTTCTTCAAATTGAAAAGTGATCATTTCTGAGCTACCCTCTTTCCAACAAAAAAAGAATCATTAAAATCGGTTCACAAATGGTCGAGTTATCGCCTAACATACATACAGAAAAACACAGTCGAATTGAGAACCTCCTCCTATTTTTAAAGTCGGTTAAAAATATAAAAACAATTCTTTATTAAACCTCAAACTATACGAAATTGCGGAGTCAGCCACCCTGCTTTATGTATTCAGGTAAACAGTGTACACGAAAACCTTTCAATGGTTACCTGCTTAATCTCCCACCGCTCTGGGCTGGAGATTCTTGTGACGCGCTTACGGCTGGAGTCCTCGTCGGGGTCGAGGCCACCCTGCAGCCCAGCCAGCACTGTGGCCGCCGGTGCTGGCCGATCGGGATTACGCCCTTCGCGTTCGGCCTGTTATTAACATCAGTAAGTTTCAAACATTTACAAATATGCATACATGGTGAAGGAAGCAAGTGACATTTCTTACGTTTCGTTTCTTGCTCCAAGAATTAAGAAATTTCTTTGTACCATAAAATTGTTCAAATACAGTATAACAATTGTAATTCACAATGTTTTCTTATAAATACTTACCTAATATTTGTGTAAAATTTGATCATTTGTTTTTTCTATAATACCATAGAACAATTGAAACAAACATTTCCTTTTTAAGATAATCTAACTCGCCATTGGCGATTGGTTTTTTTATATTGATAAAAAGATATTAAAATTAGGAACGTACCTCCAAATGAGCATGAGATGTTGGATTCAGATCTTTGCCTGTCTCCTGGCAGACATCTTTCATGGTAAGAGAGACTTTTTGGCCTGTCACAGATATAACTTTCACCTGCAATAAAGACAGAAACGTAGATTAAATTAATTATCCTAGGTTTTTTTCTTCAATGTAATAAATTACAACAAAACGTGATAAACGTGCTGAGTAGAACAATTTAGGTAAATTTGCTTTCTTTTAAAGCTTCATAGACAAAGAGATTGGAAGACGATGCATAAGTCAAACCTCTTTTATTTGTACTAATAACTTGTTGCCTAACAAAATATTGCCAAGCTTTACAACTGGCAAAGTTGGTAATCATACAATATCTTTTGGTTTTGAATTTATTCTGGGCAGGGCCCCCTGGGGTACAAACGTTAACATTGTCACCCAAGGCGGAACAGAACGATGGAAACGCGGTCGATCCCTAACTAGTCAATTTTTTTACATAAAATTAGAAAATATTTGAAACAACGATATCCTGAACAACACAAAGGTAGCGGCGGCAGGGGAACATAAAACCACAACCGAGTGGAGCCTGCCTGAACGATCGAATGTCGAATGCCCGAACGAACTATGTACTTTCGTAATCGGTGGCATTGCAACTGTTATGGACAGACGTGTAGCTTACCATCAGGCGCACGTCCTGTTCGTCCCGTCACTTGATATTGTAAAAAACTAAAAAATATACATATTTTTGACTGTTATAATGTTGGGGCACCATTCTCCTCAAAATAACACTTACCTTGACTCTGTCTCCACGGTTAACGACATCAGAGACATTGGTAACTCGTCCTTCGGCCCTAAGCTGTGAAATGTGCACAAGGCCCTCCCACCTCTTGCGGACACCTTCTATTTGGACAAAACAGCCAAACGGAACGATGTTCGCTACGCGACCGTTGTAGATCTGTAATAGTAAAAATGAAATAAGATTTTTTTAAATTTCTACCTTCAATCACAACAACTCCATTTAAGCATTATTCAGAAATTATGAAAGTTGACTCTTTATATAAAAAATAAATGCAGGAGTTTGTTATAAACTCTAGCTGCTCTAGTGTATCAAGAAATATTTTATAAAATTACATAATGTATTTGTATAGTGTATTATTAACTATATTCATTATTGACGATATTTCGAAAGAAAGGTCATGAAATAAGTAAAAAAACTTCCAATTGCGATTAGTAGTTTTTTAAACTTATTTCATATACTGAATATAAATATTATATGTATAACTATAAAGGCTTTTAGTCCTACATATAATGTGAAAATTAAAAAAGATTAAATCATCTCATCTGAAGAACAGAGTCCCATGTGTTTCTATAGCGAAAAGAGAATAGGCATGTTACGAGAATAATTTCGTTATTCAAAGTAAGGCTATGTAAAGGTGTTTTGAGAATTTACATATCTTATTACGCTTCGGAAATATAAAATCGAACAACAGTTGATCTGACATCCACAGCGAAGAAGAACGAACATAATGTACTGTGTCCTGAGAATAAGTAGTCATGCACATGGACCTGTCGAAATGCAGGCTAAGATGTTTGTTACTTCATTATACTATTAATCAAATCTACTTGAAAATAGTCAAATAAATTGTTTTACATCTGTATAAGCACCAGCTACTTTTGTATAAGAAACTCATGAGAAGAGGCTTGTAAACAAATACATAAGATACATAATATAAAATAGAAGATAAATCATGACGATACAGATACAACAAAAGTGTCTAGGGATCAAGCACTAATTTGCAAATTACTTAATTGATTTTTTATTTACTTAAATTTTATTACTTATTACTTAAAAATGTTTAATTAATTTCTAAATATTTTTTTTAACACTAATGGTTTTTTTAGACAATTTTATAATTTAGAACAAAATAAATGAAAAAGTAAATAATATAATAAATATATTTATAACCAAATATTTTAAAGAAATACCTCGATCCCTAAACATTTTTGATGTGTGTAGATAGCACACACTTAGTAACAGTAGAGCTCCTTGTGAAAGAAATTGTCTAGGAAGTACTGCCATGTTATCTATTTCTGTCACGTTATCTATTTCTGCTACCAAGCAGTAATTCCGTATTCAGCATTACTGTATTCCGGTTTTGAAGGGTAAGGGAGCTGGTGAAATTACAGGTACATGGGACTTGTCAACACAATCTCAGGGTGACGGGCGCATTGGCAGTGCCCTTCAGATCTTTCCGATTTAAAGGTCTGAGTGGTACCGCAACTGTTATGGACCGCGCGCGCGGCGTTTCATTAATTTTTTTACGAAAATGTTTATTTTTTTGCGTTATTTCAAAAAAAATACTGCAACATCCAAATGCTGTACTTTCCTAACCTACAAAACCTGTTTCCTATCATTTATTTTCGAATATTTCAATAATTTTTATTATCAAAACTACGAGTTTCCTAAAAGCTAATATTTTAGGATTAGACTGCTAACTATGTAATCTATTCACCATATTAATTTCAACTCTCAACTTGTGCGATGGTAAAATACAGTTGAGCCAAACTAAGAATGTTTCCACTCACCTTGCCAGGCTCTGGATCATCACTCATCTCCACCTCAGGACTTCGTTTTCTCTCCCTTTTTCCATAATCGTACTTTACCTCCCGATCTTTTGAACGAGATCTCTTTTTCCCTCTTGACCGGGACCTCCTTCCTCTTGAGCGGGATCTATGACGGTCTCTCGACCTGCGTCGGTCTTTAGACCTAGATCTATGGCGATGGCGACTTCTAGATCGTCTTCTCTTATCTCTATCTCTACTCCTACTCCTTTTTTCTCTACTCCTACTTCGCCTACTTCTTCTATCTCTAGAAGATTCTCTTCTCTTGGTTCTAGTGTCTTTTCTATCTCTACTACTACTTCTGTCTCGTTTTTTCTCATCTTTCTTTTCTATTTTGGTTTCAGTCTTGCTAGGTCCCGAGTTGGAGGGAGCTAGAGCTTCCAACTCAGCCATAGCTTGGTCAACAATATTATCTGAGGGGGTTTTCACTTTTGATTCCTCCTTAAATATCTCTTTTGATGTGATTCTCTTGTTCTCATCTTTATCGTCATCGCTTTCATCATCAGAAGAAAATACTGGTTTTTTATTAGGAATAGCAAGCCCAGGGAATTTGTTAACCAACGAATTCTGGTTATTCGGTTCAGTGTCATTGTTTTGTGCAGCATTGTTAACAGGTTTCATATGCTGTATGATACGAAGCAGATTTGTCATAAAGGAGTCTGAGAACTCTGCCCCATTTTCAAGGAGAGCTTTTTTAAATGCGTCGAAGGCAGGATTTTTATCTGCCAAGTCTATGATGAATTCAGCTGTAAATAAGAGATTTTAATTAACACCTCTTACGATGTCATTAAGCATAATGATACAGTAGAAGAGTGATCATCGCAAGGCAATTGGTGAATGTATGAATAAATTGACGTACCTAAATCCTTGTCATTTAAGCCTAAGTGGTTGTCCAACTCCGTACAAACTTTTGATACCAGCGAAAGATGTTCTAATTTCGCTACTTCATCCATTCTGATGGTATTTTAAGCATTTAAAAGCAATAAATTATTAATAAAAACATTGCACAAGGAAAACACTCATCTATAATGATTTTTTTTTCTGTTTTGGCAGCTTGGACCATAGCTTGCACACAATATATTTTTTTAATTTATTGAGCATTGGCTATGAGGCCATTTTAAAACTACAACAAAACAAATAAATGAATTAACTTGGCCATCAACCTAAATTATATTTTTGATACAGGTTCATTTATAGAAAAGAATAGCACTATAAGAGAAATCAATAACTATCTCTTTCCTGGAAAACATATTACACTACTAAAACATAATGCCAACTTGAATGTTTATAGAATGATTGAATACACGCAAATTGTTCTGTAGTCTATGATTATTTGACATTTATTGATATCATTTTTTTTTCTGTATGTGCATATAACCTCAAATTATATTGCCTGTGTACCAATTCAATCAATTTGCACTGTATGTTTCGAAAGGCAAGTTTTTTACAATAATTCGTGTTCAGTTTTTCATTAAATATCATTCCTATGATGGAAAACAACACAGATCATTCTGAGCAGAATAATTTCAGTCCGTTATCAGTGCAGGACGTAGATGTAGACTTCTTGCCTATTGTATACGAAATCATACGAAGGTATTTTCTGTAGTATTTATTTTTAGCTGGTAGTTGTCATTTCATTTTTGTTATGTGCGCATAATAAACTTATTTTCATTTTTTACTTTGTATTTTCAGCGTAGAAAGAGATTATCACGACAATTCGGCCAAGGCAAGGGAATCGCAGGATTGCAGTCAAAAGGTTCTGGAATTGCAAAAAAAGTTCGACGTCGCTCGTTCTCAGGTACTTAGCAATATTTAAATGTCCATACACATGTTTGTTTATATAACCCGCTCTTTACATATCTTATGTAACAAAATTGCGCCTTACAGATAAGGCGACTTCCAGGCATTGAATTTAACAAACAGGATCAATTGAAACAGTTTGAAATACTCCACACTCAGCTGCGTTTGAAGCGTGAACTTTTGCAAAAGTATCGGAACATGTGCTCATTTGAAACATCATTCAAGTGAGTGAGAAATGCCACTGCGCGCCTTGTTGAGGTACCTGGCTAATAACGAGGAGCTAGTGCGGAAGATTGCAGAATCATATCCTGTGAGACGTGCAGCACAACTGACTGTCGCCATGTTATATAAAAGCAAAGATAAAGTTAACAGTTTGGGCCCTAGGAAAATAAAGCTCATAATGGATTTCTTGAAAAAGTTCCAGTCTAACATGAGAGAAGAAATACAAGATGCAAAAAAGCAAATGAAAAAATGAATTGGTTGTCATCTACAGTCAGATTTTTAATTACCTGGACAAAACTGGCATTTATTGTATTCAGTTTTTGATGAAATAAAAATGTCTAAGAGATCAATTTTAGAACTCGCTCAGTTTAGCATTTCTTTTTTGCTAATTTTCATTCATTCATTAAGAACTGAACAAATTACATCACTCCAAAAACAAGGCAACATTATTTTAAATAGAAAAAAAAATTAATTTGGCCCTATATCTGTGCTAAATTATTTTTACGGTGGATGACATTGGTGTCGTTCATCGTAATTTTTATATATTATTTTTACTAACTTGACGCTGACGAAATCCTAAAAATGGCACTGCCAATGAGTAAAAAGAAGAAATTGCTTTGGCTGTCTGGTTGCAAAAGGCGACTGTGTCGATTTCATATTAATGTTATGGAAATAGAATATTGCCTCTAGTTGCCAGTTACTTGTATCCAACCTTAGAAGATGGAAAAAATAAAGGAAAAGTGCTGCCTTATCTACAGAATAAATGTCGCTATCTAAACCAAAAATGTCCACCACAAATGGCGGATTTAATGTTGTACCATCATAGATCCTTATGTATGGCTTGAAAGTTGAAACTGTTGTTACTGTGTTTTATGTTTGCAAATTTGTGTAAAAACAGCACCGCCAATAAGTAAAAAGAAGAAATTGCTTTGGCTGTCTCTGGTCGCCGCAAAAGGCGACTTTGTCGATTTCATATTAATTTTATGGAAATAGAATATTGCCTCTAGTTGCCAGTTACTTGTATCCGACCTTAGAGAATGGATATCCAACACATGTTTGCGCGACACCTATTATCTTACTAATATTTTACTCAACAACTTCAATCAAAGGTCATGAAATAAGTTAAAAGAATCACAAAGCTGCTTGGAGTGTCCTTATTCCATCCTCTAAGGTAATGTCCAGTTAATAAAAAATCTAACTGTAACAGTTGTTTATGATCATCTATCACGTGTGTGTAAGGCTAATACCACTTAGTTGTGTATTTGGGTTAGGTCAATTTGACTGTAAATAAATAGTTTTTAGTATTTAGCTATACTATTTTATACTATTTTAGTGCATGTTTTATATCCGTATAGAAAAATAAACACAATATACTTGGAGCTAGTTTATTTCTCACTGAACAAATCAATAAAAATATCCTCTTACTTAAACTAACAAATCACATGAATGGTACTGAATTAATCAAATACTGATATCTCACAAAGAGCAGCTAGCCTCACTAACACACTATACTATGCATAGTTTCATGTCGCACCTGATTTTGTAGGTAACTTTGAAACAAATTGAGATTTGATATTCTAGGTGAACGCTTACTTGTGGGCAATTTACGCGGAATTTTGCATAATTAATTAATACAATAGCATCAGACATTTATGTCGCAACGAAGTCGTACGATCTCGCTCAGACTTCGAAAGCGAACTTTCTCTAAGATCGTCATATCTATCCACCTATTCAAATGTGTATTTTCCGAGCACATAATTCGACCTACCTCACATTTTTATATTTAAATATCTAAAAAATTAAATTATTGTCAAATTTTCCCTTTTTGACAAATTCAAATTTATAACAACAACGTGCGGATACAAAAGATTAAGGCTCTTAGGGTCGTATTCCAGAACTCTACTCAATACTCAAGTCAGGACTTGAGTATTGCAGTGAGCACTGAAAATCATACTCAAGTCCTTGCCATTAGGGTCGTATTTCCAGTACTTGAAATCATACTCAAGCCTGCTCAAGTCCTGACTTAAGCATTGAGTAGAGTTCTGGAATACGACCCTTAATGAAGAGATACTGACTAGAAACTTAACAGGAAACTTGAAAGAACATGTAAAATCTTGGGCAGCTAGAAAACAAGAGTGTAGATTCTGCCACGAGGCGGATCAAAGTTCTCTGCACCTCCTTACCCAACGCTAACGTAAGAAACTTCTGGGAAAACAGATCTCAACCAGTGGTACAGTCCTCTAACAATCCTTCAGTTCTTTAACACTGGCCTTGGCACCGAACTGTAAGTAGTGTTGAATAATAGCCGCACCCACGTGATGGAAAACGTAAAAATGGGCGTCAACATCAAAGTTGGGAGGATGAGCTGAAGCTAGCTGCAGGATCATGTTGGAGAACAGTAGCTCTTGATAGAGCGTACTAGAAAGATCTGGAGTAGGCGTATGCCAAGAGGCACGCTGAATTAAGAGATATAATGTAAAAATTTAAAAAAATGTAAAAAGTATTTGTAACGCAGCTTAAAAGGCTTAATAAATAGTCGCAGTGATGATGAGTTGTGAAGTAAGCCACCCTACTAATAATAATAATACATATTTTCGCCGGCTCTTGAAACTGAATCCCTGACCCCCCATTTAAAAATTGAAAATTAATATTTTAAAGCCATGGGAAAGGGGGGAGTCTAAAACAAATAATAAAGGCTTTTAATACTGAAAATGCAAGGTGGCCTAAATTGTGTCCGTAAATGTATGCAAGAACGAGATCAACACGAGCACGAGATGTACAGTGCTAAATCGAAAATATGCTGCGGTGAAAAATTTGTTTAATTCTGGCTATGACAATTTGTTAGGAACTATGTGCTCCATTTCTTCTCACATAAGTGCATTAATCCTTTTCAAACACTGTTGTTCCCCATTGAAAATTGAAATAAACAATTATGTATCTCAATTGACCAAAGTACCACAACATCAGGTTTTTAGCATACTTATTGCGTTCACATGGAAATATATAAAATAAAATTTTTCTTCGTAAAATGAGATTTATTATTAGTACAAAATTTTCCGAAAATATTCCTTTCATTAGGTCCTAATTACTCCAGTTTTCCATGTGAACGTTTCGTAAAGTAAAACAGACCCACTGCTTTGTGATTTGACCACTTATTCTATAAAGGGGACCATACATTGACGGACATGTTGATCAACAGATCTGTCATACTCCACATAACTAGAGACGTAAAAATATTAAACTATTATATAAATATAAAGTACAATTATTTTCAGTCAGAAATTATATGTTTCCATGTAGATCTTTGGTACCAATTCTTGTTCAACCAAACACAGTATTTACGGACGAGAGGAATACTTATCGGTCAACATGTTCTTCCTTGAATGGGCCCCATCAAAAACACCAAAAAAAAAAACCATAAAATTTACAATAATTCAAAGCGTAAGTAGCTTTAGTAGTAATGTCAAAAAAAAAATTATAAAATATATCATCTGATAAAATAAAATTGTTTGAAACAAAAAAAAAAGAAAAAACAATAAACTTTTTTATGTTTAAGCAAATTTTTATAAAATGTCCGATGGAATTAAACAAACATGAAATTGAAATCACACACATTTCAATATAACAAACACTCATTAATTTAACATTCGAAAAAAGCATCAAATATTTTAGATCTTGATTGACCTTTAAAAAGTAAGGTTAACCACACGGCAACTACTGTGTGGCGGTGTATGAGGCTCATCTTTTATTAGTTTTCGTTGTATTGTCATGGTAACGCCCAGTTAAAGTTGACACTTAGCAGTGTCCACGATATAGTAAACTTTTTTTGTTGTATTACATTTTTACATTACATTATTAAAACATCAGACACACAGGAAGGCTCGCGCCAAGTACTGTGACTTATATATTGGTACAGTACACGCAACATACACCGCTTCCAGCTGTGGTCACCCTAAAAAGCAGAAAATATTAAACCTTATTATTGCTACAAGATATTCAAAATATGGAACCATATTGGTGACACCACCGCGCTTTTTTTCGAACTTTATATACACGACTGCATGTTTAAAACATGTGTACGTCCTTTTATGTATTCGGAAATATCTAGAAATGGATCAGATGAAATTATTATTTCTAATTGCAATTTGTGTGTTCCCGAGGTTATTTCTAATGAGCTTCATTTACCGATCGCGACGCTTTCTACAAATGGCCGCGCAGCTTTCGGTTGCCTTCATTAATTAGAATTGTTGTTTTTAATCTAATGAGCCCTACAGATGTACTCATAAGTACAGTTGTAGTTATTTCTATGTAATAAGTATCTTGTACTTTCATTTAGTGCTGTGGACTCTATCTAGCCGCGACATGGTGTCTAATAGCACACCTGGAAACTGTACATACGGACACGTCATCTCTTACAACACAACACATAGTATAGAATTTTTAATCGAATTATGTAATGCAATTTTTTTAGTCAAAATTGAAAGTTATGTCTTTTGTCTAAAAGGTGACAAGTTTGCAAGGGCATGATCTCATTTAAATTTGGAGAAAATATTCCACCTCTAAGGGTGGCAAACCAAGGGATGAATGACTTTTGAGGTCGGTTTTTTTAGTACTTATATATTAATTTGACGATCGATATCGGATTTTTTTGTCGATCAACTAGTGTGATTGGACAAAATCGAGCAAATCCGTCGGCACCTTTACACAAAATTTCACTAATAATAGCAAGTGGATTGTGATAAAACGCTTGCCTAAAATTAATAAAAAAAATTACTGAACGTTAGTAACTTGATACATGAAAATTTAGTTTTAGTTAAGCCGCAATATTTAGAGACCAAAAGACATAAGAAGTATTAGGGATATTCTTTCTTAACTTGTTAAGCTGTTGGAACTAATTACTTTAGTATCTTGGACGACGAGGTGGCCCTTATCGGGCTTCGGGACCGCTTTTAATGTTACTTTATACACATTTGAACTTTCGTATTGCATTATAACATTTGAAAGCGGGAATAAACGCGATTAAACTATTTAATAGGTATTCTCACACCTACCTATTATCACAACATATTGGCCAGGTTTTACTGGCCGTGGTCACGGGCTGACTGGTGATGCGGTGTTGAAGCTTCCACCACCGAGAATACCGATTAAATTGTGTAATCGTTAATATTACTTTAACTAGTTTTTTTTTGTTAGAATCTGTCTTTTTTGAAGATGGCGTAAAATGATAGTTCATTGTGCAAAAGTGTTGCCAGCTTACAAGCAGCTAGTGATTGCAATCGATAAACATTCTGTCGACTATCGACTGAATGTTGGTTACGCATACAATAAATAGTCGAATTTGTTTAATTTCAATCACCAACGGCTTATTAGGCGTCCAACTGCTGGGCATAGGTTCATTAGAAATATTAAATTTTTGTAAGTTCTTACATGCTTATACTGCACTTAGAACTATGTCTATTAAAAATACAAAGACGAGACATATTTTAAAGATTTTCATTTCAATTCTAGTGGTGTATGAATAAAAATATATTTAGACACTAGTAGGCCGGCTGTCAAAATAAGAATGAAGAAGGCAGTAACGCAATTAATATCGTTAGTACGTCGTAACATTCACAATTCAGACATTTCTGGCATTCTTTCACAGTCTATCGATAAAACTGTCGATAACAACTACATGACTATTTAAAATTTTATGAAAACTGGCAACACTACAAATATCATTTTACTCAGTCTTCAAAAAAGATCGTCTGCTATAGTGTTACTTCAAGAGTAACATGAAGAACATTTTTTTGCGTCCAGTTATGTCTAAACTTGTCACAATCCGGCAAATTAATGAACGCGAGTAGATTCGTTGTTTCCCCAGCCTTAAAGTTTAGAAATAATTCCCCACTACAATAAACTTAAGCCCAAACGTGGAATACACACAGATTGAATTGTTGAATCACCCAAGACGATATAGATTTTGAAGCTTTCACGGTTATTCAATAAATGATTATCACTAATTGTGTGCGTTATTAAAAAAAACAGGTTTCTTACCACGATATAAGTTCTTTTTATTTCTCCGATATTTCGCACCGGTTACGCGCTCTATTGTCACGGGTGGACTGACAGTTAATGACCATGAAGTGTGTAACCGTTTCAAAATGTCGGGAAAATAAATTCATTTCGTGGTAAAAAAATGTAATTACAGAACCGGTTCGCTATGATGGCCGTTTTGCCGTTTCGAATCATTCACCAAGGCGATGTTTTGAAATCCAAATATCACCCGACACTGAACGGATAAGAGGAAGATAGTGGCGTACTATTAGAAAACACCTTCGTGTTAAGTTCTTCGTACTAAATAGTACTCAGTACAACTATCGCGGCGTTGTATGTACTCGTAAACGTTTAATTAGGATGAGTCGCCGGCGGGTCGCTGTTCGGCTTGTCGTGTCGCTTGCGCGGGCGCCGCCCCCCGCCGCCGCCCGCGCCGGTGCCCCGCTTGTCCCCGGACACTTCGAATGGCGAGTCGGATGCCGTTACATCGCCTTCCTGAAATAAGTTAATCTTCTAAAAAAACACTAGACGAGGCTCTTTTTTTATTTCTACCATTTGTACCTATGTCATAAGCTTGCATAATGTACTGTACCGTTATCTAAACCCAAAATTATAGCATGTAACAAACCTACTTTATGTATTAAACGGCCTTGAGCCAGAATACTTTAATTTACGATTTTCACACATTATTTGAGATCATGTACGTTGCAATAATGCCCAAAACGTCGTGGTAATTAAAATATGTTTTATATGTGATTAAGCCAGAAAGCTTTAGTTCAAATACGCTAGATGGCATTGACACATTTGCTCATATAGGGACGAAATCATCGTCTCGGAACTGTTTCCAGGAGTCGAATCCCTTCTTGGGTACAACTGCCCGGACCTTCCGCAAGTAGGTTGGAACTGTAGTGGCGTTATATAGGGTGAAACTATAATTGACACCGAATTAAACATTTTTCTTCAACTTTCTGGAAGTTTGACTGGATCGTCGACGTCATCCCACGGCAGAGAGAAGCTCCTCCTTTACAGTATTAAATAGTGAGATAATATTTTGACGTGCAGCAAAGAATCATTCATTCATTCTTTCGTTCATGAACTTTCACAAGAGATGGCAATAACGTACAGGTGAACCAGAATCTCCTGGCATTAAATATTAGAAAAATCGAACGACTTTCACCTGGCAATGTTAACTTGTCACATGTCAATTCAAAATATTACTTGTGTCAAATGGCTGTCTCCTAAACTTTTTTTCACTTGAAAACATTGACTTACAAATAAATGGACGACGGGTCTAATACAAAAACCACGAAAAAAATGTCCCAAGTCAACCTATTTAAACGTAGTGACATGTAAAGGAATATGAAAAAGTTAAAACGTTGAATTTAAATTGTAATGTCATCGCAGTACTGTCTAATTTTGCTTGCTTCGCTTTCAGTCGAACAAACGAAGACTAAAGCGTGAATGACGCTCTGTATACGATTTTAACGCCCTGTAAGTTCGGACACTTTTTAGCGCGGACCCGACGTCCATATAATTGTAAGTCAATGCTTGAAAAGAACTATTTTGTAGCAATAATTAATTATGAAAATATTCTTCAATCTCAAGCAAAAAACATTACGATAATGTTTATCGCAAAATCAGCGATGAATTAAGAGCATCTAAGTTACATTTCACGATTTTGAAGGGGGGTCTCAAATCTTGCCGATTAGTAGGAGTAAATAAACTTGTTCTTTGAAATTTTAACGAAACCAAATCAATGTATGTGGTATGCAATTTTTGTCGGTACTAGTGCTGGTCGGCATGACTACAGTGTGTAGACAATGATTGGTAAAAAAAAGATAAATGGCGTAAATGCGAGTTACTTTAAACTGCAAACGTAAACAAATCTATCACTCGCAATGTAATTGATATATTTTTGTTTCATTTTAAAATGTGTCAGAAATTACTTAACTTTCTCACACACAAATTCATACAGATCTTGAAAAATGCATGAGTATACATCAATTCTGGTCAATTAAAATATATGAAGTATCTAGTACATTTTCTCCTACTATGTTGATGTTGCCCACTACAAATTTAAATTTGTCTAAGTGCCATCAGATTCTGGTACACCTATTCATGTCAATAACGAATTATACTTATTTATCGAGTATATAACCAGAAACAGAGACGAAATAAGAGCTATCCATCCCTGGCAACTCATCAAGCAAATGGGCCTTATATCACTTTTAAATATCAACTCTCGTTTGCACTGAAATCACAAATTAGAAAAATTAGTTCCATTCGGTGGTGTAGGAAAAACAGCAAAACATCTAATTACAAAACAAACGGAATCACATTTCATCGGTAATTAAATATGTAATTTTGCAATTTTCGTCCATATACCAAGTTAAACTGGTCGATTTGAAGTGAAACAACTGACGACACTCGTCAATTCTTTCGAATTCGGGCTGGCCAATCGGAGAGCAGTTGTAACCGTAATGATTTGGCAGAATAGTTTTCAAATAAATTAAATGACGTTTCGTCTCTATTTCTGGTTATATACTTGATGGTTAATTGTCATCATTCAAAACACAGTTTTACTTACAATCTGGAGCGAGTTGCTAGCGGGCGGACCATCGGGCGTGGACGCATTATTCCTTTTCTCGTTGCGCTCGTGTCGCGGCGCGTGCCGAGTAGGCGGTTTGTTCCGCGGAGCACCGCTGGCCGGCTCTGGTCGGAGGACGTTGCCTACTGCTTTCGTACGACCCTCGCGGAATACCTGAATGAGATTCACCGAATAAAAACCAAACCATGTAGCCAGGAAGTGACGACATACTTGTGGGCCATTCTCCACTTCACCGTAACATGAGAACTTTCAATAACGTTAATACAGACGAGGTTGACACCTTCCACGACTCATTATGTAAGTTCAAGCGGAATATAATAATAATAATAACGCACATACTCAACATAGCCCCGCACTAAGGAAACCCTGTATCGCGAGTGCCATGGACACACACATAGAGAACCACAAATTACACCTAAACTCACGAGAGAAATAAATTTAGGCCTTACAAATATTTCTCCCGGCCCGGGAATCGAACCTGGGACCTCTGCCATAGTAACCGTTCAGCCACGGAGGAATGTCACAACTGTTTTAAAGGTGGAGTCTTAGGGGTTTTGTTTTGTTTTCTTCTTTTCGTTTTAAAGCTCGAAGGGCGCTGCAACTGTTATGGACAGGCGTATACCTTACCACCAGGCGCACGACTTGTGCGCCCCGTCACTTGATATTATAAAAAAATACACAAATTAGAACATGAAAAACAGGGTTCGAATTTTAGCTGAAATGGTGTTTAACTTTGAACATCAGGCTGAGTTAACTGCTGCTGCTACAATGCTGGTCTGCCAAGCAGAGGTCTCGGGTTCCATTCCCAAGCCGGGAGAAATATCTGTATAGCCTACATTTATTGCTCTCGTAAGTTTGGGTGTAATTTGTGGTTGTGATTTCAGTGAATTCAAAACTTTAAAACGCTCCTCTGTAAACTTGGCAATTTCGACATACGATACTTTACGTAGAAAGGGTCGAATGTATGTCCATGGCACCGGCGATACAGGGTTTCCCTCGTGCGGGGTTATGAGTATGTGCGTTTTTGTTATGATGAGTTTGAAGTGAGGTGGCTAGTGCCCAGGTTGCAAATTAAGGCAACGACTTACCATTCGCTGACCGCGCTTGAGGTACTCAGGGTGCTTGATGAATCGGAAGCGCACGCGCGCCTTGTCGCCGGTGCGCAGGCAATCCAGGGACATGGACAGGATCGATGCCGTCTGTCGGATGCTGCCGCAGTGCACTGCGCATACACCACACGCCGTTAAATCATTCAGTAACAATTTCTTTCTTATCTAGCAGTTGGTAGTTGATATCGTTAAGTAGTAAAATATAATATAATACAATAGAATACAATCATTTATCAATGTCTCCATATTACAATCCAAAATACGTCACTAACGCTGACAATAATAATGAATATAAAACAAAGTAGTATAACTACTGCCGTCGAAATACAACGAAGTCAAGTAAAACAAAATTACAATGGTTTGAAAAGAAACTCATCGACTCTGTAGAATTTACTATCTAATAAAACGAGTTTTAGTCGAGCTTAAAGCGTTCGTCGTTTGTAATGCCGGGTTCATGAGTCCTTCAATTGCTTTGCGTTGCGTGAGTTTGATATTTCCACGCACGCAACAGGCAACGTTTGCGGAGGACAGCAACACTGGTCAATCACAGAGCAGCAGCCGGTTCGAGAGTGTCGACAACCCAAATAAAGGCAGGCACCGCGTAACGCAAAACGGAAGACTCGTGAACGCCTTTGCGCGGAAGGCAGATTTCTACGCCGTGTACCCAGCCAACGCAAGCAAACGAAAAACCTAAGTGAAAGGACTCGTGAACCCGGTATGACACTTTTCAGGTCTGTGGGTAGATGCTCGTAGAATCGGGGATCTATTACCCGCGGATTTCTCGTTGCGAGATCGGTACGGTGGGCAAAGGATTTTAGTTTTCCCGCGTAACGCCAGGACTCCGCCCGTACGTCGCTCAAAAGTGCTCAAGTCTTGACGCACATAAACTATTACATCACAAATCGACTCCTCCTACGTAAAGTATCGTATGTCGAGATTGCCAAACTTACAGGGAAGCATTAAGTTTTGAATTCACTGAAATGCGTATGAGACGTGACTTTAGCATAGGAATGCAAAATTAAATTGTAAAATGATAAAATAAATTGTGATTGTTCATCTAACCGATATCTAGGAATTCTAGGATTTTATAATACTCAGTGTGAGTTTTGCCGAATAAAACTGACAAATAAAGTCACGTTTTGCTCATATTTCAGTGAATTCAAATCTTTAAAACGCTCCCCTGTAAACTTGGCAATTTCGTCATACGATACTTTACGTAGGAGGGGTGGAAATATATTGTGAGTATGTCTTCATTATATGGTGTGAACTGGTTATATAGTCGATGGGTGTGAATATTTTGTTCCGCTCTTTCATCATTCATGTCAAGCTAACCCGAGAGTTAATGTGGCAAACAACGACACCATTGCCTAGTACAAAACTAGGGAATGCCTTGGACTGTGAGTATGGAAGTGCTTAGTGGACGTGACACGTGTGCCAACAGTATGCAGATTTCTGCATGTTTGAGCTCAATCGGCCATATTCGCTTTAGGGCGCGTTCCCACTATGTCGTCACGTTTTATTATCGTTGGACGACAGTCGTGTCTAGCCTGTTCCCATATCACGACTATCTGTCGTGTACGATTTTATATCGCTGAACGACTGTCGTGACTAGCTGTTCCCACTAGATCGTGACGACAATTTATCGTTTCACGACAGCCTCCTTGTCGTTTGCACAACAGAATCGTTTGATGCACTGCAGTCGCTTGTATGTTCTTTTGGAAGCCGGTAGGGTGTGTTCGCTCAAAATGGATGAAGACGAAATTTTAATAATGTATTACTTTTTAAAAATGCGGAAGCGGAAGCAAACAAATAAAAGAAAGTTTTGGGTACATCCAATGCTACTAAAAAGAATTCCATTACGGTTATATCAAACGGTATACGAAGTTGCTTTCTTTCCGGTATTGTCAAAACCTGCTACGACCAGAGATGGGCAGTGGGTTAAAACCCAATCAACCCGCCCGTGTTTTCACCAGGATTTTACCCGAAGCGCCGAGTGTTAATCCATTTCTCCCCAAAATCGTGGGCAGAAACGAAGAGTACAGAATTTGGTATTAATTCCAACACTAACAACATAATATACAATAACTTGTAACAAATGTCTATATTTTTATTACACGAAGAAGAGGCATCTGCACATAATACCCACCACCTGTCAATCCTGTGAATTCTCAATGAAAATCGATTCAAGTGCATACGATCTTTCGTATCATTTTTTGTATCAATTTATTGATGAACTTTTCAAGCGAATCTATTCAATAGAAAGGTAAATCGAACTGTCCTGATAATAAAGCAATAAATATTTTGTAATAATATGTATAATTAAATTTGAACAAAACTCAATTCACAACAAATATTTAGACGTAAATAGTTTTTGCCCTCGATTTCTGGTTTTAACCCGGTTAAACACGGCGTTATCAAAGCGCCGGGTTAAACCCCGGGCGCTGGCCCATCTCTGGCGACGACCCAACGCTACTGCAAAGCGAGCAGAGCGCCCGGGGTACAAGATTGGAGGGCAGGGAGCAGAATACGTACGGACAGCAATAAACAAAAAGTGACGACAATAGGAGCTGCGACAATCTGTCGTCATGTTTTTATCGTGACTTTTTTTATCGTCTGACGACTGTCGTTCTAGCTGTTCCCACTGTGACGACAGTTTGTCGTTGTAACGATAAAAAATCGTGAACGACAGTTAATCGTGTCGTGCTATATGTGAACAACTTCATTTAAATATACAAGGCACGACACTGTAAACTGCACGACAATCTGTCGTCACGACATAGTGGGAACGCGCCCTTATACATTATGGTCGTATCGATTATCTCGCGCAAAACCTTGAAAATCGTAGAAAAATGCCTTACTTTGGAGTGCTAAAAATGATAGTGGCGCCTGTAATATTCTGTCATTCTAGTGAAAAGGGTACAAGTAAAAAAAATTCAACTTTAGAAGGCGACGCGAAAAATAGTTAAACCTTAATGATATTAAGCGTTAAGTGCTCTCGCGTTTCCTTGTAAAGTTGGCTTTTTTGACTTGTATCCCTTTTCACAAGAGCCACAGAATTGTCCATAGTGATGTTTTATATCATTGTTAAGTTTTAGTTTTATTATTCGTAATAGATTTTTTGTTATAAGAAACGAAATTATAAACCTTATTCTGTTGCAATATGGCAGACTTTTTTTTTGGAGAACGTTAATAGGCGTTAATCGTTCATCGTAATTCAGCTATTGCCGCTAGATGGCAGCACATTGAATGAAATTTCGATATGAAATCAAAATGTAACTTGCACAATCAAAATATCGTAACTTGCAATAATAGGCAGGCAACCGTCAACGATATGCCAAGCGGGTAAAGTTAAATTATGTTAACAGTATTTGGCACATGTTTTTAAGTTAGAAACTACGACCAATCATTTTCAAGATTTCATAGTGTTTAACATTATGATAGTGTGAGTTTTGGCGACAGCGGTTCTGATAGTAATCGAGGCTTAAGGCCCTTCTATTGTTTTTTCTTCTTCCTTGTCCACACAGAACAAAATCTTACCCATTGCCTGGTAACGTGAAGAGATGGTGGTAGGGTGGTGCAGGACGAGGATTTCGCCTTCGAACTGCCAGCAAGCTTGAGGGTTCAGTGCCGGGGAGACCATCACCATGCCTTTGCGGATTGCTGATCGCTTTATCTGCAATAATATTAATCATGACAAATATCTGAAAAACACAATTTTTTAATTATTAATAAAAAGATCGAACTTAGAAAACTTTTTTTCGAAAAAAAATTCTTTCGATCCGGCCGTATTCTAACCGACGTCTTCTAGCAAACCGTGCCAGACGCTATGCCAAATAAACCACGGAACGAACCAGCGGACCTCACGAATGTTTCTATTCTTGTCGTCGGATCTTTTGTATTTGATTTTTCAACGACTTTTTAGTCGTAGCGCCATCTATGAGAAATCTATGAAAGTATTTCGTCACCCCTGTTAGATAACTTTACAGATACCAGCCCTGGCTAGAGATGTCGCTATTGACTGTAATTTTTGTATTGAATAGATATGCAATTATTTTTGTGAAATTACTCCACTAGTTTGTTATAATTATCAATCATTGACTTACAATTATATGGACGTCGGGTCCGCGCTAAAAAGTGTCCGAAATTATAGGGCGTTAAAATCGTATACAGAGCGTCATTCACGCTTTAGTCTTCGTTTGTTCGACTGACAGCGAAGCAAACAAAATTAGACAGTACTGCGATGACATTACAATTTAAACTCAACGTTTTAGCTTTCATATTCCTTTACATGTCACTACGTTTAAATAGGTTGACTTGGGACATTTTTTTAGTGGTTTTTGTATTAAACCCGTCGTACATTTATTTGTAAGCCAATGTTATCAATACAAAGATCGAACACTTAAAAAAAAATCGTTCGATTTCGAACCGACGTTTTCTAGCAAACCGTGCCATACGCTATACCAACTAAGCCACGGAACGAACCGAGTAATTTCACAAAAAATAATTGAATATCAATGCAAGGCAAAAAAGTCTCATGTGTCTATTTCCATATAGGTATCATAAAAAAAAGGACTTCGAATACCGAGAGGAGGGAATCAGTTTAATTTGTATAGTTTCGTCGGTACCTTCTTGAGTGCGAAACTGGCGGTCTGTCCGCCGCGGACCTCGGACACTGCCATGCGCTTGCGGTGGATGCTCTTGACGGTGATGGGCTGGAAGCGGCCCAGGGGGTCGGGGCCCAGCAGCAGCGTGTCATTCAGGCGGATCACACCGGCCAAGGTCGTGCCTGACACCACCGTGCCCACGCCCTGTCAGTGAATGGTGAAGATTTTGTTTATAATCGCATTTCTTTTTATACCTCACATTATTTGGGAACATTTCAGGTCAGTGTTCTCTACTTATGCTTCGTTTTTTTAATTCAGTCCGTCACTTTGTAAGCAAAGCAATTAAATAAAAATTTTAAAACGAAATTCTCAAACATATTCACTAAAGGAGATGGGGCAGTCTGGGTCAAATTTTAATAGATGAGGTATAACTTAAAAAAAGATTCATATTTTCCTATTTCAAAATAGAAAAAATCAACCCGATTCTCAATATGAGAAATCTAAAGTTACACAAACTAAATAGAGTATCGATTAATCTACAATCGGTTAACGTGAATGAGTTTAAACAATTAAAAATAGAATACTCTAGCACCAGATGATAATGCACTCAAAATTATTACATTCATTGGAGCTAACAGATTTAAAGGTTTTAAACAGTAAAATATTCCATAATAAACAGAAATATTAAAATCGATTCACGTTTACAAATCCATTCGTTGATTTCCTTGATATGTTTCATCGATACAGTATTTTTAGTCTGTCCTGACGATATTTGTTGGATGCGAAAAAAACTTTTTATTAAATTCTTCGGTCCCTATTTTTTCCTCCCATACAATGAAATGATCCCTTCATGAAACCAAGTCGATTAGCACTAAAAAAAGTTTTAATCAATTTTATTAATTTTTATGGACAACTCACGTTTGACCAAAGAATTTACTATGCCAAAATTGTTTTCACAAAAGAAGACTTAATGGTTCCTAAGAAATTTTCCTTGCATCTTATGATTCTGATTTCCCCATACTGTCCCATTTAAAAAATCGCTATATAATCTATTTTAATAACTTGCACTGTAACAAACTTAAAGAAACAGTGGTTACGAACATTAAAACATTGAATCTTTTTATAAAATAATAACAAATTATAGTATCATTTATAAATGTCATTCGTCATCAACGTTCACGATGTTCACCTTCCCTGCAATTTGTTGTCTGAAGAAAAAGGTTTATAATCACTGCATCGTTGATTACGATTTTTCTAATTCAAAAAAAGGCGTACTACAATTTCGGTGGCAATTTTTATTATTTAAGTATTCGAGTATATTACCGATGTAAACCCGCGAGAGAGGTCGACCGCCGTCCGCGTTGAACACATATAGCATTGTACTGTTTGTTCTTAATTCTCATTTTTTTAACCGACTTTAAAAAAAGGAGGAGATTCTCAATTCGACTGTATGTTTTTTTTTTGTATGTATGTTACGTGATAACTCCGCCTTTTGTGAACCGATTTTGATGATTCTTTTTTGTTGGAAAGAGGGTACCTCCATAGTATGGTCCCATTTAATTTTGAAGAAAATCATTCACCTCTAAGGATCAAGTTCACGCATAAAGATTCATTTTTATAAATAGCGCCTAAATTTTATTCTATGGAGCAATTATTTTAATGGTTGATTTTGCTATTCTCCAATTCAAGGCGTTTTTTCTTTCAATATACTTTGAGTAGTGAGAACCGATTTTTATTATCTCCTGTGTCATGTTCCGTATAGTGGCAAACTAGTGGATGAATCCGGGTTTGCGCACTTTCCGGTAACCGATTGCAATAAAACTTAGCAAATAGATGTAATTCCACGTACTTTTGAGGGTTTTTTTATTACACAAGTTGAAACTTTTACATTCTTTTATTTATGTCATCCACTGCGCTGACACCGTAAAACATTAAATAATATTTCAGGATACTACACTCGAATAATTAAAATACTACGTTATGATAATACTCTAGAATATTAAAATAATAAAAATTGCCACCAAAATTAGATAGAGAAAACTGACCTGAAAATGATCCATTTTGGACTCCATACAATAGTATAATATACGTCTTCGGTTTTCCATTGGGGTAGGCAGAAACTATCAATTTGGTTAATTATAGCATTACGTCGATACTCACGGGTACTGAGTAAGTGTCGTCTATCTGGAACTCAGCAGGCTTGTCATCTTGAGAGGGCATTCGTGTCTTCAGCAGGTTCAGGAACATTGTTAGCAGCTCCAAGTTCTCACCGGTCACGTTTGACACTTGGAAAATTGGGCATAACCTGGGAATAAAAGACTTGTTACAGACTATAGCAGAATATAGTTCAGGGCATAATACAGCGGATATCAGAATACATAGCGGACTCAGAAATCCATTATGACGTTTGTTTTATAATAATAATAATAATAATAATAATAGTTACAGCTTGACTGCAGATTTTTTTTATAATATCAAGTGACGGGCGAACAAGTCGTGCGCCTGATAGTAAGCGACACGCCTGTCCATAATAGTTGCAGTGCCACACAGACCTTTAAATCGCAAAGATCTGAGGGGCACTGCCACTGCGCCCGTCACCCTGAGATATAAGTTGACAAGTTCCTTGTACCTGTAATAGGTAACGTGGCTATTATATTAAAATTATTAAGGTATTATTAAAATTTAATATTCAATATTTCCCTGGATTAACTATTTCACAAGGATCTTTATGGCTACTATAGTCTGTTTGAATCAAATTGCATGTAACATCTTTACTTTACCCGTGCATACAATAATGTTTCTGATTTGTTCACCATTGTAAAGTTAGAAGCGAAAAGTGTAGAGGATCCGTTACGCTACAAGTTGACAAATACTTAAATATTTTATACTTGAGTAGGTGATAAAAAAATAAAAATAAAATAAAATTGTGCCAAGCCAATTACGATAAAGAGATAAAAGAGATTTGCATCGGATTCGTTTTGATAAATTAAATATAACTTGTGTTTTATACATTTTTTTACAGAGATTTTACTTTATTATTTAGTCAAGCACATTTGCCTACAGGTAATAATGCTGCCTAATGCTGACGAAGTATGACCACCAATACAAACAATTCTTATTTGTCATATCAGTATGGCCACCAATAAACGGCCGGATTTGTAAGGTCTGCTGACTGTAGCTCTATTGGTAAGAGCGGTAGCCCCGATTTTGCAAACAAATGCTGGTTACAGTTCATGGTTTAAGTTATTTATTTCTCAAAAGAATACAAATTCACTTAGCGGGAATTTTTTAAAGAAGTTGTTATTGAATATTGTAAGAAAAATCTTGTTGAACTTATCCCGTGTGCAGCACGACATAACTGTTACTAAACTGACACTCTAAGTCAGTAGTGTGTATAAATATCACGATATTCAATAAAATAAATATTAGAAATTGAAGTCATAGAGGTACTTGCTGCCACAGGGATTCGAACCGCAAACCTATAAGAGAAGCAATATAATCAGACTAGACATATCAAATTACTTGCCAATATAACAGTCTCACCTTTGCGATACGAAGTTGGTAGCGCTCACTATGACGTCATCTTTCGTCTTCACCATGACGGGCACCTTGCGGCAGCCGGAAGACTTTAGGATCCTGATCACTAACTTCAGATTGTCCTAAAAACGGTATAAAGGAGCAAATTAATAACACTGGTATATGTAGTATAACCACGGAAGAAAAACAATGGAAGTGCCTTCAACTTCGATTACTATCAGAACTCATGTCGCCAAAACTCACACATTTAAAATTTGAAATACTATGAAATCTTGATAAAGATTGGGCGTAGTTTCAAAATTAAAAAGAAATAACAATTTCAGCCCCCGTACCATGCCACCGCGATAAAACTATCATATCCACATTTAGCTGTCAAAGTCGAGTGATAAATCGGCATTTTAAAATATTATCACAACAGCTAACATGGCGAGCACGGTGACGTCATATTTTTGTCGCATCGCGACCAATGGCTGCAAAACAATATCGCAGTGCTAAACATCGCCGCAAGGTCACAGCTGATTTTAAAACATTTTGACAGCTCTTTACAATAATTTTATCAACGTAAAAATTGAGCGCGACAAACGAGATAAAAATAAATAATAAAAACAAAAACAAATTGACATACATACATTATTGGAAACAGGTGAGGAGAACATTTTTAATGCAGTTCAATACATGAGGGTAATTAGAAATACGTAAATAATATCTAATTTTTTGTGAAATATGCAAAAATTGAAACTACAAAAACCAAAAATTTTTTGTCTCATTGTTTTCGCGGCGATGATTAAAGGACAAAGATAGCTATATACGCAATTTCATATCGTTATCCTTGTTCTTCAAAGTGTATAACAATAGTTTATTACCAAATAAATGAAAAAACGAATTACTCTAGTGCATTATCTTCCGATTCAGTATTCGCTATAAAAAGAAATTAATAATGGCAACATAGCTTAATCAACTGAAATAAATATGTTACGGGGAGGTTTATCAAGGGTTTATCACACACTGCATGTCATGCTACGGCTACCTATAACTTCAGCCAAAAAAGATACACTGCTAGACATAAGCCTCCCCCGAAGATCGTCACAACGACCGCAATGTAAAGTAACACATTTTTGTACTGATAACATATAGTAACATTGAAGTAGCGATACGAACTTGCAGCACGTTGGGTGGGCACATGTCGATCTTGGTGATTACGACGAACACGGGCACGGACAGCGCCAGCGCCAGTCCCAGGTGCTCCTTCGTCATGCCCACGATGCCTGCGTTCGCGCCGATCTGCAAGCCAATATCCAACATTGTCGCATATACCTCCAGAGGGCGCTGTCCGATCAAACAAACTATATTTTTTGGCACCAAAAATCTTTATTATAGTTGGAAAGAACAGTGCTCAACACTGCGAGATACTGTGTATATAATAATAATAGTTTATTTCGGATTATCATCATATCGTGTTAGTAACAATTGTAACCTTATGACTAAGATAGTAAATACAAATTTTCTATAAAATTAATCCCTTCTGGCTGTATGTCGCATGACGAGCCTCCCATGTCTGTACAAATGAGCCGTCGACTCTGGTGGCAACAATGGCCAGGAGGCTGTTGGGGATGCCGCGCACGCGCCGCAACAATAACACAACGCGCTTACGCATAATATTACGCATAATACACATTATATTCCGCACCGAAACCAACTACCTCTTCTCCCGACAAAATTACTGTTTATTGTAATTTTTAAGTTTTTATTGAATGTCACCATAACATGATTATTTTTGAGAAATTTCTAAAACCAATAGTTTGGTATAATTCTTAATACAAAGATCGAACACAGAAAAAAAATCCTTCGATACGGTTGGTTTCAAACGAGCGTCTCCTAACAAACTGCTAGACGCTATGCTGACTAAGCATACTGTTTATTATCTCATTTATACTTATTTATTATTATTATTTATGCGATTTAAAACTCTGAGTGGCTCTGCAAATATTATGGGCAGGCGTGTCACTTACCGTCAGACGCACGCATTGTACTTCCCATCCCTTGGTATCATAAAAAATACTTTTTCGACAGTACTCCCACAAGGGGCACACCTGAACCCTCACTTATTTAATTTATACAAATGTCGTACGAGCTTTAAGGATTACCATGAGCATGCCGAAATCTGGCGCGTGTCCTGTCATGCCGAAGACGGTAGTTTTGAGGTATCGCTCATGGCCTGCCAGGTCAATGAACGTGATCACCTTTGACGACTTCTCGCAGATCTTCACCCAGTCCAGAGTGCCGTGATCCGGCTTGTTTACAACATTACCTGCAATGGTTAATGATCCTTTTTTATATTAGGGTTTCGTTTTGTATTAAAAGGTACAAAACAAATATGATAAGTAGTACTACCACAAGGGTCACACGTGAGCCCAGACTTATTTACTTTAGACAGTAAATGATTCTATATAAAATTACTACACCAACTTTCCATCTCATAATTGCGCTTAAAAATCTCTGTGTTTCGTGTATCTTTTTCTGTTATATAGTTCGTTGTGGATCGTATTTTGTCAATGAAAATCACAATGGAAATGTGTTAAGCTTTTGAATTGGTATGACTTGCCCATGCTATCGAAGCCCAGTATATCATTTCCAACTGAACTAGTTCGCCCGCTTTCCATCTCGTGCTTGTGCCTGAAGAGCCTTTGCCTCGCATACCCTCTTCCATTGTCAAGCTCGCCGTGAGTCAGTACTCCCAACAGTGTTGACTTGCCCGCGTCCACGTTGCCTACTACCGCCACTCTGTAATTTGTAAGACATTAACAATCTCGCAGGACTATATTACTGACATCATAAACATCTACTTTTGTTCCATGATTTTTAAGAATTCATACAATACACATATTTTTTTGAAAGTAATATACAATAAATATGTAGGTCAATGATAAATATATATATTTTTAACCTAACCTAACCAAACGTCGTGTCTTATTCGAGAGTTTACTCTATAATTTGGCCACTCACTATACGGGGCCCAGGAATAACCGATACATGCCGATAGCATCTGTTACTATTCTCACATTAAACGTAACCCACGAATAATTTCTTTTAGGGTGACAAACTGCAAATCGATATTGTTCCAAAAGAAATGAATTAAAAAGAATGTAGTAATGACACA